AAATGCAGCCCATTTCTCTGAAAGAGCTCTCTTTTCCCCCAATACTCGTGCCAATGGCCCATAAAAAGAAACCCTTGCGTTCCGCACCACTCTTTTAGCCGTGCGTTCAAGTCCTTAATTTGTTTGTTCCTGTACCAATTGTCGTATGGTACAGGCAGTAGACCCGATATTACCAGCTTCGATGATCTTGACTTCAATTTGGACCCCAGCTCTTTGAATTCCCTTCTCAAGTCATCTTGGCCAACTCTACCGATGTCATTGGTACCGATGTGAAGTACCACCAACGGATCCTTACCCTCGTATTTTAAGTTATCTTCTAGCGCTGCCGAGGCATCCTTCACCCCGGACCCAGGGAGTCAACAAAGCCTTCGGGTCTTCTGGTTGGTGTTGCAGATGATTGTGTCTGTCTAACAGTCTCATCCCCAATGACAACAACCATCCTCTCGTTTGCCCCAGTGTTAGAGGTAGTTTTTCCTTCCATCCTTGTCGACACAAGATCCAAGGATCTCATATCTATTGCTCAACGTTAATGCCGGATTTACTACCACTCTTTCCGATTCCGTTGTCCCCCTGACCTCCTGACTCTCCATTGACCTATCCTGACCATAACCAATGTTGACTGTATATTCCCTCAGAGGAGTGACTGGCTCCAGGATGTAGTTATCCAGGAAGCACTCACTGTCTCTGATACTCCATAGTGTCTGCACCTCGGATTCCAGTTCAGCCACTCTGACCCTCTGAGCTGGAGCTGCCTCAGTTGCAGACATCTTCTGCAGATGTAGTCGCTCGGAGTCAGACTGCCCTTCATCAGCTCCTACATGTCACACTCCTCACAGGTGCTGACGGGCCGGGTTGACTCTGCAGTGCAGTGCAGAGCTGCAGGAATCTATTGCTCGGTGCTTGAGGAACCCCCAACCCATTCCTTGCCCTCTTTGCTCTCTCTCTCTCCCCCCACCAGTGCAATCTTTCCTTTTTCTGTCCTCTTTAGTTCCATGCCTCCCCTATTCTTTGCAAGAGGTTTCTCTTATCAAACTTTAATCATCCCCTGCAACCATTTTACCTTTTATGACCTTTGAATTGTGAATCCAGCAATCATTAAGTGGCTTCTTTCACTCTGGTGGATACTTAACCACAAATCAATCACTCCCCATTGTGATCGGACCCACCCCAGCCCATGCTGCCCTCCCCGCTTCTCAAATTGGGAAGATATTCCGGCTCCTGCTATTGTACCGCCATACACTACTGCCTCAGGAGTCAATTGGTCATCGATAAAGCATCTCATTCCTCGGTAGGGCGAAACCTTAGGCGAGTTTCCTTACTCCACACTCCTCTGTTTACCCAGCGGTAAGTAGGAACTCGATAGCTAGTCGATTAGCGACTCGCTTTCCCTCCAATAATAATAATAATAATTTGGTCACTCAATCCACGACTATTTGTGGGGCACTGCTGTGCGCAATTGGCTGCCACATTTCACCCACAAAATATATAGTGAATTCACTTTACCATATATCCGGTGAAAATGCTTCACAGAATATACAATATTATTGTATATTGTATTGTATGAATGTATATTGTGTGGGTAATACGGCAGCCAATTGCGTGCAGCAGTGTTCCAAAAGCAGCTGTGAATTGAGTGACCAAATTATTATTTTTATGCCAACTGTTTGCACATTGAAAGATATTCACAAGATTAACCAAAAGAGCTGCCTCTTGTGTGTTTGTTTTGGACACAGTCTAGCCCCTGCATAATTCCCAAGGCCCCGGTGGAATCAGAACATACTTCCTAACTACAAAGCTCAAGTTAAAGGGAGCAAGGGAAATCGTGGGAGATTAGGAATTTTCAGCGGCACATTTAATATCAATAGAAATGGAGTCTGCAATCTTCAGGCCCAGATGTCTAGTTATTAGACTGTTAGAGGATATAGACCCCTGTTGGAAACCTGACATCTGATCCCAACTCCATTGAAGTTCCTCTACTGGTTTCCATCTCCTCCATGTCCCCTGGGATGAGAGGAAATAGAGGAGAAAGCGATCTTGCCCAGAGCATTTGATATCATGTCTTACGTCATTGAGACATCTCAAAATTCTGTCACACAATATATTGTAGAGTGAATTCCACATGTGTGCAGATGACACCCAACTCCACCTCCCTGCCTCCACTCTTGGCTCCAGGACAACTGCTGTCCCGACAGAATGACTTCATCGGGTTTTACTACAAAAGTGTTGTGACCGTGTGTGTGTGTTTTACAGGCAAACGCGGCAGCCAATTTGCACTCAGTGACGTCTCTGCAAAACAGCCGTGAAGTTGAATGAGTGTAATTAATGTGTTATAAACTCTTTTAATAAGAGAGGGGGGAAGAGAGAGAGAAAGGAGAGAGAGAGAGAAGCAGGGAGGGGTGGGATATGTCAAAATTTCATATTATATTTGGACTCATTGGAGCAATTGTTGTGGTGAGTAACGTCACAATTTCATTCTCTCCCTGTGATCTCCGGAAGTTGTGTATTGTTCATGCTCCCCATAGGGTCTGGGTTGTTGTTGATGTTTGTTACGGTGAGTATTTAAAGTCTTTTAAAGGGTCAATTGGCCACCAAGATCGGAGCTGATAGATAAGGCCAACTGATTGCCAAGCTTATGCATGTTAACTTAACAAAATGACATCCTGATCAAAGCATGTCTGGTCATTGAGACTGAGTGTGAGGGCCAATTTAACTAATGCTGATTGTTAAACGCTGAGAATCTGTTAGACTTTTTAGCATCATCTACACATGGAAATTCCCAAGAAGAATTATATTGGAATGGAATGCGCACTCTCTCCCAGGAAGGATTCATTCTGCTTAGCTAATTCCAGAGAGGGTTAGGTGCAGGTTGGCAAGAGCCAAAGCTTGGGGACTCCACAGTGTGCATTGGATGCAATTGCGGGAATGATACAGAAGAGGTATTGTCTCTGTTGTTGCCCTTTGCCAAGGCTAACATCACTAATCGTGAATCTTATCTGTATTGTCTAAACACTGGGTGTGTTTCTATGGATGAAGTTTATTTTAGTTCCTTGTTAAGCATGTTTTTACAATCTGAAATATCGTAATCTGAGAGTCTCTGGCATGAAAACAAGTAGAAATGTTGACTCAAAACCTAAAGTCATGTCATTTCTTGAGTCATAACCTGGGACTTTGGCTTTATCAATGGCGGGGTGTGTGAGTTGGAGTTTGTAGCCTGTATCACACTGTAAACCATTCTATCAGAGTTAGATTGCCACTGAATTCAGTTCTCTGAACCCTTGGACTGAAGGGATCTCTGGATCGTTCATATTATCAGAAAGTTCATTAAAAAAACGATATTCCCCTTATCTGATACAGTCTCAAATGCTTTGCAACACTTTGGTGAAATGTAGTGGCTGTGAGCAGACAAACAGCCATGAAGCAAATTTTACCTGTGTGCGCGCGGGTGGGGGAGAGAAACACTTTTTCAATAGCCCTACAGGATCTTTAATGTCCACTTGAATAGGGTGCAGGCGGGAGCTCGATTTAATCATAATAATAATAAAGCAATCCTTGCATTTGATATAGCACCTTATCACATCATTTAAGATGTTTCAAAACGCTTCACAAAACACATTATAAAATGAATTGACTGTGTATTTTATGAGCGAAAAACAGCAGCCAATTACGCAGAAAGAGTCGTGGATTGAGTGCCTACATTTTTTTTTGGAGGGATTATTATTCCCGGAAAGTGATCCGCCAATCGACTAACAATCGGGTTCCTATTTACTGCCGGGTAAACCGAGGCGTGTGGAGTAACAAAACTTTTCTAAGGTTTCAAACTGGGGTCCTCTCGCTTGTGAGGCAAACTCACTATGATCCTACTTAGACATGGCGACACACCACTTGTCCTCCGAAATTTGCGATACTCAACCGACTGTAAGAGATGCAGAGTCCAGTTATCATAAAAGCACAGCTTGTCTTCTGGGGCATAATAAAAAGCAGGAACAAGATTGATTGCACAATGCTTTTTATTGATATCAATCAGTAAGTAAAGTGAAGGCGGAGAGGTGGTGGGGTAGTGGGGGCACAGGGAGAATGGGCAGAGAGGGAGGGGGAATAGGAATTTGGGGGGCAAATTTGCAAATATTTTACTACCGCCTACAAGACCAGAGTCGAAAAGCTGACGAGAGTTACAGGTTTCCTCTGTGATTTTACATAGAAAAATGAGAATTAAAACAGAGAAAGATAAAATACGGAATATTACAAGAATCTCCGCTGATTCACACCCGTTTGTAACCATCGGGTCATGTCTCGCCAGACACGAAAAATATTACTCGAGAATTAAGGCACATCCCCACTCCCAGCCCGATCCCACCCAAGTTGGAGTCAATGTACTGACAGATCATCACATGTCCTCACTACTATCAATGGTAGTAATCGCTGATAAGAGTGACTTGCAGGCTTCAAACTCCACCTGATGCATCTCTGTCACTCTTATAAAGACAAACGTCCCTGGTTATAATCCCCCTCCACCCCACCACCACCACCACCACCACCACACTTACCTCCTACCCACAAATTAAAACATCAGGCAAAATGTTTAATATACCTGTATATATATATACATAAAACATTTTCTGTGCATTTATTTTTGCAACAAAAGCTTAAGCAAAGAGCCAGTATACAGTCACACTTAACAGTAAAACCCCACATATTTAATAAGCCCTCTGCCTCCCATAAACTATCTGAGCATAATATCCAGTATTCCTCCCTGTTCTTGCTTTGTTTTGTTTCCTGACACAAGATTCCCTAAAAGCAGTTAAAAACTTTTCGTCTAAAAAAATGGCGATGCTGTTACCACCAGTGCAGATGTACATAAATACAGCTGGGAAGGTGAGCTTCTCGCAGTAATTGTCACTAAATATTGAAATAACCTGAAATAACCCACCTAATCCTTAATGATATTAAAAAGTTCCTGATAAGGTTGTCTATTGCTCTCTTTTCCTTATTCTCCTCTCTATTCTATTCTATTCTATTCTATTCTATTCTATTCTATTCTATTCTATTCTATTCTATTCTATTCTATTCACCCTTCCCCACATTCACCTCCCTCACCTCTACCTTTCCCCCACCGGCCCACACACCTTCAGTAGAAATGAAGGCGAGAAGAAGAGGGCGAGGGAGAGAGGAAGAGAGGGAAAGAGAGGGAGGTACAGATGATTTCTTGTCTTTGGTGGGCTCAGGATCACAGTGATGGGAAGTGGACGCTGGTTAGCGAGAACAATGGATACTGATTTTGGTTTGAGGCACCTGATTTACAGACCTTCCCCTTTGACGTCCGTTGCACTGGGAAGGTGAGAGGGGCTGTGCAGATGAGATGGGGGTGGGAGGGGGGGCTCAGTTGAATGAAGTAGACAGATAGGCCACAAAAACGACTGTCAGCACAGCAGCGCTGGTGGGTCTGACCCCCTTCGATGTGTAGACAACTCGGTTATTCAGCTTCTGAATAGGTCTGTAGTTGGACACCATGGGTTTGGGTTTCTCCGATTCTTTGCTGAAATACAAACTCGTTGGAAATGCATTGAGCTGAAACAGTAAAGATATAAGTGGTCAGAGCACTCGTTTCTCCCCTGGTGTCCTGGCTGACAAGCCCCCAGATAAAATCACTCGCTCGCTTCATGGCAAGTTGTGGGACACTGCTGTGTGCATTGGCTGTGCATTTGCCTACCAAATACACGGTCATTACATTTTTAGACATCCTTCCGAGCATGAAAATCGCTGTATCAAATATGAGGATCATTATTAATAATAATTACATTATAGAATATTATTATAATTCCGTGCCTTTGGCATCTTAGTGCCTGAGCCTCACCTGGTCCTTCCTGAGAGGAATGGGATTGGGGAAGATGGTCCAGATCACGGCTTCCTGGCAGCTTGGGGTAGTCAACGAACCCTCGTAACGATAATAGTGTTTCAGGTCTGTATCGCTTGGGAGCAATGACTTCAAGGCAAAGGGGGTCATAGACACTTTCTGATCTGCAACAAATCCATCAATAAAATTCAAAAGGTTATTTTAATCTTTGTAATCTTCACAACTGACTTTCGTACAACCTTGAGATGGCAATGTCTTTGACATAGCACCTCTGTCTGCTGTGTGTCTCCCCCCATCCCACACCCATCGAACTTTGCTCAGTTGGCACAAATTGGCTCCTGCTTTTTGCTAACAAATACGCTCGATAGCAATTACCATTGACATACAATTTTGATATACATGTACATATGATCAGAAGTATTCACGGCTCCATATCAAATGCAAAGTTTATTGACTGCGATTGAAATCAGCTCGTTAACAGTTGTTCAGTACACAATTGCGCTCTCGCCTGGCAAATACCGCACCCCGCGTAAAGAGGGGGGCAAAAAAATGGGGCAGACTTCATTGTTAAAAAAAATCTTACCATTTGACTTGACATCGTTCAAGTGGTTAATTATGTCTTTGTAGTTCGAATTAATCTCTTTGGTTTCCTGTAAATAAGTAAATAGGCAGCTAGGCATCCCATAGGATAATAGTTAGCGCACTTGCCTCGTAAGTGAGAGGACCTGGGTTTGTTTCCCTGGCGGGGCGAAACCTTAGGCAAATTTCCTTACTTCACACACCTCTGTATACCAAGCAGTAAGTAGGAACCCTGTTGTTAGTCTAGTTGTTAGGGGTCCTCTTTCTGGCGGTAATAAACCTTCCAAAAAAAAATTGGTCACTTCATCCACTTAATTTGTGGGACACTTCTGTACACAATTGGCTACTGCATTTCGCCCACAAAATATACAGTCAACCCACTTTACAATATAGTCTGGGAAGCGCCTTGAGCTGTTTCAATGACGTGATCAGGTGTTGTATCAAATGCAAGTATTATTATTATTAAATGGATAGGCAGGATGGATGGGTTTGGATGGACGGAGGACAGACGAACGGATAAACGGACGGATGGATGGATGAATACAGAGATAAATAAATAGATAAGAGATGAACTCCGTTACTCACTTTGAACAGGAACCCCAGCACAGCCACACCATCAGTGTGATTCAGGGCCTCCTCCATGTTTTTGTACTTTTCGTTCCTGTGGACTATGTGCATCTGCCGAAAGCAAGATAGCAAATTGTCGTTACAATCGCATGGAAACGTCCATTAAAAAGCACCCAACAACTTGCCCTAATGTAATCATATAGTAACAGATGCCAGCCCTGTGGAGTCCTGTAGCTCAGTGGTTAGAGCACTCGCTTTGCAAGTGAGAGACCTGAGTTCAATTCCAGGCAGGGCGAAACCTTTGCCGCCTAATAAGTAATTAACTCCATAATAAATTGGTCAGATGTGGGACAGCCCGACTAAGTTTTGGGACGTCCTCCCGACGTGAAAAGCGCTATATCAAATGCAAGGATTATTATTATTATTATTATTATAAGTTGGTACCACTCTCGCCTCTGAGTCAGATGGTTGTGGGTTCAAGCCCCCCCACATCGGGAAAGTTATGAGTTCATAGTCTAGGCTTTCACTCTGGAATGTTGCATACATGGGAACAGCAGGAAGCCATTCTGACCATAGAGCCTGATCCACCACTTTATAAAATCACTGGACACCTTTTATTCCCATTTCCACACCTTTGCTCCATTGAGAACCCTAGAAAGGTCCAGTACACAAGCCTATTCGGCCCATCGTGCATGTGCTGGCTCTCTCTTCCCCACATTCTCATTATCCCTTCTTTTCAGATATTTCCCCAATTCCCTCCTTTCTCACCTTGATATCCCCTTAACACCCCCACCACACCCTCAAGTCTGCCGTCACTTTACCTCCATAGGGTATCTGGTGCCATCTATGGTGTGCTCTGCTCCAGGTGTGGTGGTTGTCCCCCAGTGAAAGTGCAGCTGAAGCGCTTTGTATGTGTTGGCCAGGCCTCCGCCACTGATGGTGTTAGTCTCCTCGAGTGTCACCTGAACTGTAAACAGCAGAGACACCTGAGAGGTCCGTGTTGGGGAAGCTCCTTCTGATCTCACCCTCCACCCTCCCATAACCCCCACCCTGACTCTCTCCCCTTCACAGGATCCTGCTGTTACTTGTCCTGGGCCACATCCACCACCACCCCCACCCCCACCATCTGTTCCAGGCCCCAAATTCCACCTAGTCTTAGTCTGTGTTGTCATTGACGAGTACCCCTCCCCTCTCCTTCTCCTCTGCCGCACTCTGTTCCCCTCCCTTCTTCATTCTCATCTCCTCTCTCCATTCCTTGCCCCACTCTACTCCATGATCAACAGCAAAGCTCATGAAGCCAGAACTAGGTCAGACACTGTCCAGTGTCCCACACAGTGGCCAGCAGTTTGCACTCTTACCTGAGTGCCCAGTGTTCTTTATCATGGGCTTTTTGGTCGGAATCTGGTCATAGCCCCGGAATACGAAGGAGCATAGTGAAGGCAGATGGTTTGCCATTTTGGTTACAATATCGATGGGGGATTGCTTTTGCTTTCCACAATCTGGGTGGTTGACCGACCAATGATCAGGGCCTAGAGAGAGGAACCAATCTGACAATTTTATACATTCAGACACCCCCAGTCCCCCAACTCATACACACTTCTCCGACATAAAAGCACATTCTGCTTCACAGATCCATTACTTTATTAATTACATAATTGACTAGTTACCTTTATATATTTCATAGTCCCTCTGCCTCGCCCCCTCCCTTGCCTCCTTCAGTAGCCTTCCTACCCTTGCCCTCCCTCGCCCTCGACTGTCCAACCCCTTGGAAAGACTTCCCGACGGGAAAGGCACTGTATAGATGCAATTTGCTGTTGTTATTTGGTTTGGAGGGTGGGGGGGGGGAAGCGTTAATGAACGCCTGAGGCCCCTAATTTCTCACAGTTTTAGCCTTAAGATCCCCTCCTCGATATCTTAAACTTTGACATTGCTCGGAAATTGGGGAAATCGTTAAGTTTGGTTGTTTCTAAGAATTGTGGAAAACAACAACAACAACAACAAGATTACATTTGTATAGTGTCTTTCACGTCGGGAGGATATCCCAAGGCACTGGAAAGAGTACAGCACTTCAGACCCGAGCTGGGGTTGAGGGGGGGGAAGGTAGGGGAGGGAAAGGAGGATGGCCGATGGCATGGTCGAAGAGGAGCGTCTTGAGGTGGGACTTGATGGAGGCTAAGGAGGGGGTGAGGCAGAGTGACTGGGGGATGGATTTCCAGAGGTTGGGGGCAGAGTGGCTGAAGGCTCTCCCGCCAATGGTGGGGTGAGTGCGTCGGGGGACATGGAGCAGGCCAGAGTCGGCTGAGTGGAGGGAACGGGCGGGTTGGTAGGGGCAAGTTATTAAGATGATGGTCTCAAGGCTGTCACCACGAGAAATTTTGTGGCCTTAAGCAGGGGCCCAAGAGGAAAATATTTAGCATTAATGTGGAAGGGACTTACCACAACTGGCATCCTGGCTCGTGTAGCACCAATTGCCTAAATAGAGGGCAAACGTAGAGTTCATGTTGGGTTCGTTTCTTAACTTGCCAACCCCCCCCCAAAACCACCCCAACTTTGCAATTTTTGTCATATTCGCCTCCGAGCACTCAGTTACTTTGACATGCAATGACTGTGGTCATGTAGGCTACATGAGTCAATGTGACCAAAGCCGAAAAATATTAATAATTAACCATCTTTACATTCGATAAATGCCGTTCACAATGGCTGGACATCACAAAGTGCTTCACGGGATTTTAATGTGAAGTGTAGCCGTGAAGTGTGCAACTAATTTTTATATGGGGGGGAAGGGGGGAAACTCTCTTCTCTTTTTGAGTGCCCAGGGATCTTTAACATCCACCTGAGCGGTAGACGGAAAGCTCGGTTTAACTCTCATCCGAAGGACGGAACCTCCCGACAACATGGCACAAAACCCCATCGTTGCTCTGGAGCATCAGCCGAGACTACGAGATGCTGAACCCGCAGACTTTTGGCTCGGAGACGAGGCAACAGCGCTACAGACTGAGCCACAGGATGACACCCAAACACTCCCCGCAGGTTACAAATGAGGTGAAGTTTTGTGCCTAGGTTGCCTCTGTTTGTTCGCTGGGGGCAGTTTAATCACCGAGCGAGTGTCATTCATTTCCGTCTCTCTGCGTTTTCTATCTATGCCATTTTCCTTTTTCTTTGGTAAGTGGAACCCAATGATCTGAGCAGGTAGAAGCTCAATTATAAGATGAGCTCCACAATGTGAGGCGACCTGAAAACCTGTTAATGCGCAGCGCTCTGAGATGCTATCCTGCATGGAGGGCGCTGTATAAGTGCAAGTTGTAGTTGTTGTTTAAAACTGAGACTGTGTTAGGATCAGAGCAACGTATCATTACACAGGTAACTGAGCGTGCCTTCAGTGCAGAGAATGGTTTAAACTGATCTGTGTACTTCGCTACAGTAAATCGTCACGATTAGTTTTCTTTTTNGGCCCTTTTGTCGCTTTTGCTTAATAACGACTCTCACATTAATCCCCAGCCGCCATCTGAGGGGCAGATGTAACCAAACACGGGGCAATGGGAGCTTTCAGTCAGCTCTACAACCAACGAACAGTCACGGTCATCAGCGGAATACCAAAACTCCCTCATTGTTACATGACGGACGGATGCGCCAAGCGAGATGCTTTGAATATTCAGCACATTCAGCGAATGACTTGAGCAGCAATAATTTGCCCTTGTTTAGAGAGAAATGCTTTCACAGGGGGAAGGTTTCAAAGCCTTAGACAAAGAGTTTTTTTCAGGGGGGAGGGGCGACGAACTGGGAGGGTGAAAGGGTAAGCGGGGAGTAGGGGGGAAGGTGGTTGAAGACGCAGTCAAAGAGGAAGGTCTTCAGACAGGTTTTGAAAGTGGGGGAGGGCATCAGTGGAACCCAACTGATGAGCAATGAAGCGATTTGCGAGTGGATCATTGCAACATTAATGCTGCTCACGTTTCCCTGATCCTCACATTCTCTGTGGTGCCAAAACTATGTCACCGAGAAAGATTCACCGTCAATTACCGATTAAGCTAATGATCCACTGAGCAATCAATTCTTTGCAACGTTGCTTACAAATATATGAACGAATAATAATTCTTACAAGTGATAAGAGCACCTTACATGCTGGTAAGGACATCTCAAAGCGCTTCACAGGATTTTACTGTAGAGTGCAAGTGGTCATCTGACTTTACTTTGGAAACGCGTTGTTGCTGAATCAAATGCAAGGAGTATTAGTTGACCTAAAGCCCATTTAATCGGTTATAGGAGCCAATTCTTTTGCAATAAGAGGTGACGTAATGAAACCAAACCACTTCCATATGAGCAGGGGAATATGTAGGAATGTCACACGACAGGACTCTGGCGGTAATCCTAGACCTTTGTTTAATGAAGATTAACCAACATCCAAACTCATAGGCAAAGTGTGTTCCAAAAGGAGTGAACCGTTCTCATCACTACTTAATTTAATAAATGGGACGATTGGTTTGTCAATCCATAAATGTCACAGGGTTAAAGGCCATCAGTCAAAAGACAATGCAGGAGCCCACATGGAGCTCACGTGTCTCAGCTAGTCACCATGCAACCCATGGAGTGTCATTTGTGCAGTGTGGACACAGCCTGTTCAGTGGTCTTACTGACCAACTCATGCTCTCAGTTGGGTGTTAGCCTGGTTCAGTCGGTCACCAGTCTTGCCGCCGAGTTCAAAGGTTGTGGTTTTAAACCACACATCAGGACTTTGAGCTCACATGGCTGAGGCTGATGCTCCAATGCAGTGCTGGAAGCACGGCATTGTCAGGGCACCGTCCTTTGGATGAAACTTTAGTCCGAGTCCCCCAGTCTGTGCCCTGTTCAGAGATTAAAGATCTTGCTGGAAAAGAGAAGGGTATTTCCCGTGAGGTCCCCCCTACCAGGTTAAATTGATCATTCACTTCCTGGCTGTTTGTAGGGTGTTGCTGTACATAAATTGGCTGCTGTGTTCACCTACCAAACACACACTTATCCCCATAGCCCTCACCCAGCTTGGGGTCCCACTCTGGCTCTGTAAGTGCTTTGAAACACTTAACAGTTGTCATACCCTATTTGAAAGGTGCAGCATAAAGTGCAAACTGTTTTTGCTCTTCCCGAGTGCTGTAACAACACAAATGGAAGAATTATTATTATTTTTAACACTAATGTCACTGCGTTCCAGATCCCAGGTGCAGGGAGTGTACGAGATAAGAGCCTACAATCAATTTGGTCATTAACTTAGAAGCCAACCTTGTGGTGAGAAATCTGCACAGTCATCATGCCTTTCTTTAAATTGTTACTGCTATCTACTTGCCAGTAAATCCAGAAACCAGTACAAGTCGTCCAGTGAATGGTAATGATTTTTGCATTTGATGCCACACCCTGTCACGCCAACAAGTTATCTCAAAGCATTTCATAGGGTCACTGTAAAGTGGAGGGACTGTGTATTTTTGCAGCCAATTTGTGCACAGCAATGTCCGACAAACAGACCTGACATGAACGACCAATTTTATCTGGTGGGGATTGTCAGCCAGGGTAGCGGGAGAGAGATTAACTCCCTTCTTTTTTTGACTAGTGCCATGGGATCTTTAATGTCTGCCTGAGCTCAGTTTAATGACTAACATGAAGGATGGTGCTTCCGACAATGCGGTGCTCCTCCAGTACTGTACTGGGGCGTCAACCTAGACTGACTATACGACCTCAACCTTCTCACTCAGAGGCGAGAGTGCAACCGGCTGAGCTGTAGGTGCTGACGCGTATCAGATTTTGCTATTGTTCACGACAGATTCAATAGATTTTAAAATAATAATCGGCTGCAATATTGATTAGAAAGATAGAATACAGGGACTGTGAACAATGGATATCGCTATATCAATGATCTAACACAAAGAAAATAGTCACAAAGCACGGATGACTATAGGTTAGGAATTATTTTGGGTTCGAAAACAACCTTGCCTGTTTGGGAAAGTCAGGAAACACATTGATTCATCCAATGTGAGAGGTGCTGTATACCTGCTATTTTTAATTCAAAATGATATTGAACAAGGTGAAGGTTCTGGCAATAAATCCCCACCCAAGAAAGGAGTAACGTGAGAAGTATTAGGAAGGCTGTTACTGTTATCAGAAAAGGATAATAATAGTATAGGTAAAGATACATAAGTTATATCAGTCAGGACCATAACATTTAATATGACTTATGCAAAGTATGAATTACAGATAAACCTGCAAACTAAGTTATGCAAAGTTATATATAAATCGTATAAGTAAATTGTACTTGATATAGTACCTTATCATACCATCTGAATGTAAAATGTGCATTCGTAGGCAAGCTTCTCAAAGCGCTTAACAGGAATTACTGTAAAGTGCAGTGACTGTGTATCTGTAGGTCTATGGTGATTAGGTCTGTGCTGAGTTTGTAGGACAATAAAGGAATCATTACTCCCTTCCTCAATTTTCCCTTGAGATCAAATGGATGTGTCAATGGGTGTGTCCAAGAACCATTCAAGTCACTGTTTTTATAACGATTTTTAAATCAAGACTGACTCTAATCATAGCACATAAACAGCGTCAGGATACTGCACGAAGCATCCTCAGCAGAAACTCAACGCCGATTCCAAGTTCAGACCAGGAACCATTGCAATGGATGATTAGATGTCCACTGGGCTCAGTCGATGATGCTCTTGCCTCGGAGTCAGAGGTTGTGGATTAAAGTTTTACGTCAGATTTACATCGGGGGTGGGGGGTGCCATATTGTCGGAGGTGTGCCCTGGACAAAAGTCCCATAGATAAAAACAATTGTTCACTTCAGGACTGTTTGCGAGATGTTGCTGTGCATAAATTGGCTGCTGCGTTTGCCTGCTAAACTCACAGTTACTACAGATTCATCAACACTACTTTCAAGTAAATCCTGTGAAACACTTTGAAATGTCCTCCCAAAGTGAAAGGCCACGGCATCAAATGCAGGAGTTATTACCATTTTTCTTGTTGCAGTGTATACATTCTGCCTCTGGTGTCTGTCGTTATGTCATTCTTTATAGTCTCTTTACTATAAGAACGACATTAGTCACCATAAACCGTGGTCTGCAACAACCCCAGATGTGATCGATAGGATTCAGCACCAACGGGGCGAGATGACGCCACATCCAGTGAGCATATCACTATAAACAGGGCTATTGTTACGCTCCCCCTCCCCGAGCACAGGCTCTGCCAGTGTGGCATATAGAATGGGCACAGTTTGTGAAGGAACAGCTGTTGCTTCGGTGAAAGAGAAAGCGGGTACTGAGAAACCCCAAACTGGCACAGTTGCAGGGAAATTAACCATTTATAAACCACCACCAGACAACCCAGCACGCATGTACGGTGTGGATCGCAGCTAGAACCTCGGCTTCACGGCAGGCAAGTCTCTTCACTTCATCTCACACGAGGACTGGGATTACCCTTCTGGTTGTTGAGTAAGCCTGGCATTGGTCCTTGACCTCTAGAACATCAAAGTGGGTGGCACGTCACACAAGCTGTCCTATAAAGGTCCAATAGAATTATGAAATCAAGCCAATCCTATGTGGTGGTCCTGGTAATCCAGTCCCTGAGCCAATACTCCTAAGGCTACTGCTAATGACAGACCAGCCAGACTGGCTCATCAGTACAACTTGGGAGGGGCAGACTGGGGCAGGGATTCTGCCCACTTGGCTCCTGTTATAACCCTACAAGCCAAAGCACCAGTGGGTTGGGTGGTCCTAGTAAGACAAGAAACGGGAAGGTTGGCAGACAGTATTCTCGGTGCCAAGCTATGCGATTTTAGTTGGTTAAAACTCCAGCAGTTACCACAATTGCACATTGTTGGCCCTTGCCAAAACTGTAGCTGCTATCACCGGAAACTAGTTGGCAGAGTACATTTCTCAGTCAGGTGGGGTGGGGGGACAAAGAATAGAGCGTGCATAGTCCACTCCATTCCAATCAGATATAGGAATATCTCCGCAAGTGGGTGGCAAATAGACGATAAATAAAACCCCAGACAATAAAATTCTGGCCTATATCATCACATACTAATGTGAATAAGGAACCCCACACACCTTATTTCAGCATTCGCTTGTAACATATAACGTCGCTTTCTCCACCTCCCAGTAAGTAAAATATCGGATATACTGCATCATTGGAGCGAATTTACCTGAAGTGCTCTTCCAGAGATTCTGTGTGCTTGGCTGTAGTGACTTTGGTGGCAAGATCTCTACGAATGGAAGTTTTAGCCCTTGCCTTCTGTGAGGTTCTGCCTGATTCTTAAAGTCTAAGTGATCCAGTTTGTTAAAATGAGCAAAATGAACAAACAAGGTTTTTTTTTCAGATACACATCTGCCTTCACATAAACTTTTACTGAACTTAACTTAAACAAGTTTTAACAAATAAACTGACAGCTGTGGGGGCAGAGGCCGCTCTGTCATACTGTCAGCTGCTCGCTCTGCACAAGCTCAGTGTGTATTAGTGTAGGTCCTCCTGGTCACAGCACCCCCAAGTCTCCCCAGAGGACTCCTGCCTGCATAGCCACCCCAATAGAATGACTGAGCTCTTTTCCCTTGGAGTGATGATATATCAGAGGTTTACTGTATGTGGAACTCTCAGTCTAGTTTGGATACTCTTAAGCAGGGTTGTGGGTTTCCCCTTGTGTCAAGACACCAGTTGACCAAAAAACATCTCCTTCCCACAGATTGACTCCCCTATCGAACAGGTCACCAGTCCTCACTGGTCAGACTTCTCCCAACCCAATCTGGTAGCTTTTACTCTTTCATCGCCTCAATACAATTTCTTAAAGGGATCTCAATTTCAAGATCTCACACTTGTCTTCAAATCCCTTAGTGACCTGGCACCTCCCTACCTTTCTAACTTGCTTACTCCCTCCACAACCCACTACCTGCTGCCTCCACTCAACTGGCTCAAGCCTCTGCTTCTCCCTCATGTGCTCCGTTCCATGGTGGTTTCATCCACATAGCCCTGAAACTCTGGAACACTCTCCCTTAATCCCTCAGTTTTGCCCTCTTCCTTCCCCATCTTCGTCGTGCCTGAAGACCTTCTTTTTCGACCATGCCTACACTCCCCTCTCCCCTCTCCCCTCTCTCCGGCTCGGTTGTTGTTGTCGTAAAGACCAGACCTTAAAATTCCTTTACTTCCATTCCTTTTTGCTCCCATCCCAGTCCAATGGGGAAAAAAGGAAGCAAACAAAATAAATCCCAAATCAAAGGCTGGCTGGCCCGTCACACAGGCTGTCTCATGAAAGTCCAGTGGAATTTCGAAATCGAGTCAAACCTCTGCGGTAGTCTCGGTTGTCAGTTTCTTGAGCCAGACAGGACATCTTAAATAAAAGGTCACATGCTGGTGGGTAGGATGGGGGAGAGCCAAAGGGAGAGATCAAATCTCTTTCACAGACCACCGATTTTGGCCAAAACAGAAAAATACACTGGAAGTTTCAAGTCCAAAGTTTCTGATTTAGTGGGTAAGCATTTCTCGGGCAGTCTTTCAAAAATGCATTTTTTTTATTAAAAATTCCTTAACATTAACTGACTTGCAGTTGAGAAAGGGAGAGGGAGAGAGAGAGGAGGGGGAGTGGGGGGGGGGGGGGGTGGGGGGGGGGGAGTGGCAGAGAAATAGAGAGAGAAGCAGAACGAGAGAGGGAGGCAGAGAAAGAGGGGAGAGAGAGCCTTTGCCTGATGTTAGTACACAAATCTGGCATTAGTAGACATCAGTTGACAAATAACTTTTTTCGAACGAATTAAAAGGAGGGAAGAGGGAAATATTGGTTGGAGACAGACTTACCTGATGCCAGACTGGAATAAGGTAACCAGAAGCTGACGAAGATGATCAGAAAGGCTTGCATGCTTTTTGCCCTCCCCCTATTCCAGCTCCTACAGTGAAGAAGAGGTCACTGAGATATATTACTTGTGATAGTGAGTGCGATCTCACTTTCTGCTCGTCTTTTTATAGTCTCCTTCGGGATAGTGTCAGACCTGTCCGGGAGGGGGGTGGTGGGGTGGGGGTTGGGGGTGAGCTCCTCCTCTCCATCTCCCCCTTATTATGTTTGACACAGTCATTATTAATGATGAAGCCGTTGCAGTGGTGGATGGAAGAGAGAGAGAGAGAGGAGAGAGGAGAGAGGGAGAGAAAAGAAGGGGAAAAGAATTGCCAATAAATTAAAACGATGGGATGGATGGTTCGCGATGTTTGGTGCAATCCCTTCTGCAAAGTGAGTTTCTTTTCTTTAAAAAAAATCAGGAATTTGTACGATGGTGCAATCTCTCTGAGAGAGAGAAAAACAGGTGTTAGTTTCATTTTAGTGTGTGTAGAACAATATAAAATCAGCTCTCGCACTCTTCCCTTCCCAATGAATTAGTCTTAAATAGTCACTCGAAGCGTTTTTTTTCCTCTCTCTCTCTCTCTCTCTCTAAAGTAACCTGTGAAAGAAAACGGTAAGTAAGAGACAGGCAGAAATCGTTCGTGCTTTATATCATCGTAATAATAATAATAATCCTTGCATTTGATATGCATTTATGCATCGATACGATGATATAATTGATCATTGCGATTTGCAACCTCGAATATCCTAACCAGCCGACAGAGATCGGTTCATAACACAAGATTATTAGTATTATTATTAGTATTATTACTGCAAACTGAAATCAAACACACACACACACACACAGAGGCAGAACGAAACCCGCTGTCACGTCAGTTGCAGTGATATTGGAGTTAAATCAAGGTTTTAAAACCGTGTTACATGCAAACGTATGCAATGTGTTCACACAGAGAATGTATCTCTGTGTATATGTGTGTGTGTGTACACAGACAGACAGGGAGGGAGGGAGGGAGGAACTACGACAATCCACACCGAAGATGAGAGATGAATTTCAATCCTCTTAATAACATGAGCTCCTAATTTATCAGTGACAACATCTCCAGTGCGTGAGGTCCTCACCGCACATCGCTTATAGACTGTCCCGTAACCGACCCACCAATTATTATATACAGTGCCCCACACTGAATAAGTCACCACAAGTGAAGCCATATGAAAAAACACGTTGATGAGGATTTTATTTTTAGTCCTAATGAATGGCGTCATTGCAAAGTGCTCAGTCTCAATCTGGTGTTGTGAAGAAAGTCTCACTGACTGCCTCCCGTCTTCACTGCTTTGGCACCAAAGGATTATACAGCCCATGGTGTCTGTGAGGGCTCTTTGGAAAGAGCTGCCCAATTCACTCCCACTCCCCTGCTCTCTCCCCATAGCCCTGCAAACCTGTCCTCCCCAGGCTGTGTCATCAACAACAACTTGGATTCATATAGCGCCCTTCACGTCGGATGGCGTCTCAGAGCGCTTTACAGTTTCGGATCCCGGGACCGAGCCCAGGGGGAGGGGGAGGGGGAAGGGGCCAGGGGGAGGGGGGGGGGAAGGTGACCAAAGGCGCGATCGAAAAGAAAGGTCTTCAGCAGAGACCGGAAAATGGGAAGGGAGCGAGACGAAGGGAGTGAGGAAGGCAGTTCCAGAGCCTAGGGGCGCAGTGGCTGAAGGCATGGTCACCGAGGGTGGAGCGGAGGTCTCGGGGGACGAGGAGGAGGCCAGACCCGGAGGAACAAAGGCAATGGGTGCTGTTTTGATGAGAGAGGAGGTCAGAGAGGTCGGGGGGTGCAGAGGAGTGCAGGGACTTGAATACGAGGGTGAGGATCTTGAAGTCAATCCTCTCTGGGAAAGGCAGCCAGTGCAATCTGACAAGGACTGGGGTGATCGGGGAGCGGTGTTTCGTGCGGGTGAGAATGCAGGCGGCAGAGTTCTGAATGAGTTGGATTTTATGGATGGTAGTGAATGGGAGACCGGCGAGGAGGGCGTTGGAGTAGTCCAGCCGAGAGGTGACAAAGGCATGGACCAGGGTTTCAGCGGCTTTTGGGGAGAGGTATTGGCGGAGACAGGCGATGCGATGGAGGTGGAAAAAGGCGGTGCTGGTAAGGGACCTGATGTGGGGGAGGAAGGATATTTGGGGGTCGAACCTGACACCTACATTGCGTATGGGTTCGGAGAGTTTTAAGGGGAGGTCGGGTAGGTGGAGGAGGTGAGAACCATGAGATTTCAGACGTTGACGAGAGCCGAAGAGTATGGCTTCCATCTTGTCAACGTTCAGCTGAAGGTAGATGCACTCATCCAGCCCCTGAGGTCTGACAGGCAGGCTGACAGAATATCAGGGGACTGGGGGTCGCAAAGAGAGGTGGAAAAGTAGAGTTGGGTGTCATCTGCATACATGTGGAAATGTACCCCATGTCTATGGATGACATCCCCAAGAGGGAGCATATAGATCAGAAAGAGGAGGGGGCCAAGGATGGATCCTTGGGGTACCCCACAGGTGACTGGGTGAGAGTGGGAGGAGAAGCCGTTTATGCAGATGTACTGCTGGCGGTTTATGAGGTAGGACTCGAACCAGGCGAGTGCGGTCTCACTGAGGTGGATGACGGAAGAAAGACGGTGGAGGAGGATGGCGTGATCAACTGTGTCGAACCTACCCGACTAGGAGGACAAGCAGGCAGAGGGAGCCCTGGTCAGGCCAGTTTTCCGCCAACTGCGCTCGAGCAGACAGGTTTGGGTTTTTTGGCGGCGGAGATGGTTGTTGTACCAGGGGGATCGGGTGGGTTTGTTGATGGTCCTGGATTTTAGGGAGTTGAAAGTGGAGGAGAGATGATCATGGAGCAGCTGGACTGCTGCTTCAGGATCTCCGCGGGTGGAAGGCCAGACGGATAGGATGTCTGATGGTGTTCACCGCCAACTGTGCCTCGAGCATCTCCACAGCTACCACCGTTCTTTGACCGCGCAAAAACGGCCTTTAACTCCAACATCATCTTGGAGGCCAAAAACAATCCCCAAATCCTTTTTTCCACCACCCACTACCTCCTCCGTGCCCCTCACTCAGGCCTCCTCATCATCAGAAATGCTACAAGTACAGGGTGTCCATAAAGTCCAGTTACCCTTTTTCCCCCACAGTCCACTGGCCAACAAATGAAACATGTGGAGTAATGATGATAATTGTATTTAGAAATACTAAATTGTGTTCGGTACAAGTGTTTAGACATCCAGAGGATTGGTGGGTGTGAGCGCCATCATTTTCATGGCAGATAATGATCTGTCGCGGGTTTGGTGTGACATCTGTAAGATAGATGAAGCGACGAGGCGAAATGCCTCTTTGATAGCTTGTTTCAGCTGCTAGTGGTGCTGAGTTATCAGAGATGCCAGTCTCTAGGTGAGATGTGAAAAGCCCTGTTGCAGTTCTGATGGGCCATGCGGAACCCTCCATCAATGTTACGTTGCCTAGTGAGAGAGAGGTCTGCGGAGCTTGTGACAATGTTTGCAGTCTTCTGCATAAAAAAATTACAGAGAGCCCTAAACACCCAAACCGAATGTGTTTATTTGTACTTATGCATAGATAATTAACTGTCCCAAAGGGTGGAGCTGGAGAAGCAGTGGGAAGCTTGCCAGACAGTCGGTGCCACTCTCCACAAACCCTTTTAATGCTCCCATTGTTCAAGCATTTATCCTTCCATATATAACAACTTGCATTTATATAGTACAGAAGTAAGAAAAGAGACACAGTATATAGGCGGTCAGCCCACTCCCTCCACCCACCACCACTCCATCCCAACTGACTGCTAATTTAGCTAATTTTAGCAGGACTTTGTTTCTGCGCCAGGGGCAGTGGCGTTTCTGCAAGATTTCCCATTTCTTAGGATTTTCCAAGTGTCTGCAAACTACAGTACACATTTAAACATTAATAATAACAGTAATAATAATCCTCACATTTGATACAGCGCCTTTCCTGTCAGGAGGAAGTGCCAAAGTGCTTTACAAAATAGATTGTTAAATGCAGTCAGTGACTGTGTGCTTTGTGGGTGATCGGCAATGATGTAAAATGTATTTGTTTGGCCACCAATTACTTTTCTGTGCACTTGATAGCCGTCCCCTGCAATGTGATGTTTTCCTGTGTGAAGGGCGCTGTATAAATAAATGCAAGTTGTATACGGATGGATTCAAGTTTGAAGACTGGGAGAACTGGAGAGTGCGTGGAGTTGGCCCCCAGCTGTCTGGCAAGCTTCTCTCCCGCTGCTTCTCCAGCTCTATCCTTGGGGGCTTTCGTTCACAGGGTTAACAGAAGCATTAACAGGGTTAACACTTGCCAGAATCCCTGCCCCCCAGGAACTGGACAACTGCCTCAGAGAGTTGACTTGATTCTAACATTCTGTTTCCAAGCACAACAAGTCCTGTTGGAGCAAGTCCTGTTGCCAGGGTCAATTTACTGATGCCAGGGGTCAATCTCCTGTTGTATTTGTGTGTGGGTGGGGGAATCACCCTCTTGTTCTCTTGTTGCTGGGGGCCAGAGCTGCGCTGAAGCCGAAAAGTGTTTCTAAACTTTCAATTTTGTGGGTTTCCTTTTCCGGTACTGATCAGTTGAAAGAAGCCTGCGACCAGATAGATAAAGAGAGAATAGATAAATCCGCACAGCTTTCTGTGACCGAATGGGAGCTTGTGGATCACTGGAGAAAAGACCTGCCCTAAAATCCAGGAAAATAACCGAAGCATCAGCCTCCATCGCCACAATGCGGGTGGACCTCCAGCCTGGTTTGAGGTTGTGGTAAATCCAGCCACAGGAGCAAAGCGACCTCTAGAGGATGGATGGAAGCGCACAGCTCACATCACCTTCAGCCCATCAGATCCCATCCCTCCAGAACACCCAACCCAACAACCCTCCTCCTCCCACCACAGCATCCAGCTGTTATCATAACATTCACATTTGGTACATCACCTTTCACGTGAGGAGGACGTCTCAGGACCACGCAGAATTTGCTCTAAAATGCAGTTGTGGGGGTAGCATAGGACAGCGGTTTGGAAATACTCGAGAGGATCAGGCATGGCAGCTGAAAGCTTGGCCACCAAGGTGGAATGAGGGGAATGAGGAGAGAACTACATACCTGAGTGAGAAGCAGTGTGTGTGTGTGTCTATGTGGGAAGATGGAAAATATGGGCTGGAATTTGGACAGTGAGATTGTGTGGTTAGGGAGGGGGCAATAGGGTGGCAGTATTCATTAAGAGTTACATCTGGCTGGTCCAGGACTTGCTGTCAGTCAGACAGTTAGTCACTCAGTCAGTCAGAGCGACAATAGTCCAGGATTTGGGGCTCGTATCTTATCTTAGTTGAAAAGTATACATTTGTTTATGAAGCCACTTCCGCTAAATTCGCATTTATTTAAATCGTGATTAACTGCAATGTCAGCAGAACAAATATTTAGCCATTAGGTTTGAATGAGAGAAAGAGGGTCAGGGACCAAATCATAGATGTGATTAAAACAAAAGGTCTGGATGAAGATAAGCGATGAAGATAAGGGATGTGGTTAATATTTGACTTCCCTGGGCTCTTCGCATAAATAAATATACCTGCCAGGAAACTGAGCATCGACCATCATATGGTATTTCACACACGAAAGTGGGGAGTGTAGCTTTGACAGAAGAAACGCAGTTCTGGATTCAGTCCTAAGGTTTATATAATAATAATAACAATCCACGTCAGGAGGACATCTCAAAGGGCTTCAGAGGAGTGTTGAGTGTGAGTATTTGTGGGTGAATGGTGACTGACTGGAGTCATTAGGTGGACGTGGTCACTGAGCAAAATGAAGAGTGCGTCAAATGGCTCATTGGAAGACGCTAACAGCAATGTGACCTGGAGCAGCTCCCTGGTCCTGGCACTGGGGGTCCCACAGGTGCTGGTCAATCTCATCTCTATTATTTGCAATGCGGTGGTGGTCTTCGGCATCGCGACGGTCGAACAGCGGCGCCGGCCCATCATTGTCCTCTTCCGCAGTCTGGCCTTGTCCGACCTGCTCACTGGCTGCTCCTCACTTTACGTGGCACTGCTGTTCATCTCGAACCCTGACAACTCCATCCACGGCTCCCAAGAGCTCCTGGTCGCCTACTCCATCTTCACCGTCTCCATCCTGTCCACTGTATACAACCTGATCAGTATCGGGGTGGAGCGCTACCTGACAGTGGCCGACTGCCTGAGGGAACGAGGCCGGCTGTCCGAGCAGCACATCTGGTTGGCGGCAGGCAGCAGCTGGATACTGGCCAGCCTACTGGGCATGCTGCCTCTCATGGGCTGGAACTGTCTGGGCAAAGAGGCTGCCGCGTCTCGCCTGTACGGTCCCTTCTGCATTGACTACCTGATCTTCATCGCTGCCCCGAACTTTGCGGTGGCTTCCCTCTGCCTGCTGCTCACCTACGTTGCCATCATTGTCATCTTAAGGAGGCAGAGTTCCACCGTGGCTGCACACGCCCACAGCACCAGCTGCTATAAGGTGGCCGAGGCCCGTGTCACCAAGACAAGCGCCTTCATCTGGGTCACCACGCTGATATCGTACGCCCCCTTCTTCGGAGGGGTCCTTTGGGACGTCCTTGACCACTCTCCTGCCGAGGACATTCGCATCGGCGTCTACATCTTCAGGAACTGCACTGCCATCATGATCACGGCCAACTCTTTGGTCAATCCCATCATCTACACCCACAAGCAGCGAGGACTGGGGTGCAGCATGAGTTCCCTCAAAGGCTGCCTCCAAAGGAAAACCCGGGAGCGAACGGTAGCGAATCCTTAGCCTCGAACCGCGCAATATCCGATCCGATACCGTGTGTGTGGCGTGAAAGCCAAGAACTGGTCCATTTCAGCACCACTCGGCTGGTGGACAGCGACAGACGGCGCTGCCCTCTCGATCTCTTCTTCATCGATGTCTTGCGATCCCATCACTTTCTCCCCTTCTTTTTCTTTAACGTCTTTCACCTCTCGCTCTTCCTCTCTGTTCGTGCATCGCTCTCTCTCAATCTCTCTCTCTCTCTCTCTCTCTCTCTGTCTCTCTCTCACCGTTCCGCACGTCCAAAATAAAACCAATAAAAACCGACCCCCCCCGCTGTGTCAGGGGTTCGACCGACACCGAGATTGGATTGCACCCCCCGGGGAGGAGCGTGGCTGTGGTTATTATTATTATTATTATTATTATTATTATTATTATTTAGGGATTTTTTTGCAAGAGATTCGCTGTTGCAGTAGGCAAAAGGAAATCAGCTTTATTCCCCCCCCCCCCCCCCCTTTCTGGTGAGGTGCACCGAATCCAATTTGTCACCGATTCATCCTTCAACTGAGCCCAAGGACGCGTTAGCATTCTCCAGGCAAATCACCCCCCCCCCCCCCCCCCCCCCCCACCACACCCACCCCCACACCCCCCCCCCCACACCCACACCACCCCCACCACACCCACCCCCACCCACCCACACCCCCCCACCCCCACCCCCACACCCCCCCCACCCACACCCCCCCACACCCACACCACCCAAGCAAACTATTTTAAGATGAAAGGTTAATGCTTTTGCTTTTTTTTTAATTAAAAAAAATTGCCACCGACAAACTGCGACCTTACCTCCCACTGAGAGCGTGTCTCCTTCTGGTTGCAGAATAAGGCGACTCCTTTTACTCCGCACAGAGGTGGTTTGAGAGGAGTTTCATCAGTGCGGCTCAGGTTCTATGCTATGTTCGAGGTGGTTTGCAGCTCTGACTTTCACTCACAATTACAGGCTGGGGGTGGGGTGTGGGGGGGGGGGGTGGGGGGAAGGCTACCTCTCCCTCCTCTCCCATCCCAAATTGTTGCATCCAATTTGTCAGGAGGGGAAGGAGAGCCCTCGGTGGGAAGAGGCTATAATTAATACCTGGCGTTGGACGGTTTCATATCTGTGTTTCTCTTCCCCACCCCCTCAATTGTCAGTTATTTTCTTTACTGCTATAAACGCGCTTAATAGGGCTGTCTATAAGTTGCTGTGTCTTGTGATGTTGGTTGCAGTGCTATATATACATATCTGTGTGTGTGTGTGTGTGTGTGTGTGTTCCCAGTTGCTGCATATTTCCTGTGGTTTTTTTTGGGTTTCTCTAAACTTGTTCAGAAGGTGGTTTAGGGGAAACGTTGTGGTGGGGGGAGAGAGAGCATTAAGAAGCTGAAAAAAAAGTCACATTTTTTCCAAGTCTTTCTGGCCAGCCTTCCTTTCACATCTTATTCTCAATGGCATGCCGGCGAATGCATTTCTGTTAAGTCATTCGTCAAATGTATGTGTTCAAATAAATCATTACCTCAGCTACCTATCCAGCTTAATCTGCCAAACATGAGATAGACGATGCGGCAGGTTTAATTGCACCAGGAGTAAATACAGACAAGGCAACGGATGAGATTTCCAATTTATTCCAGAGGAGATAAATGCACCCATGAAATACATACGGTAAGCCTGCAAATGAAATTGCACTCCCAACTCAAAGATTTGCAATATGATTCGTGTTTATTACAGCACCTTTTACATTGGAAGGATGTCCCAAAGCGCTTCACAGTGGTGGACAGAGACCCAAGCTAGGCGCGGGAGCCGAGGGGTGGGGGGTTGAGGAAAGATGACCAACAGCATGGTCAAACAGGTATGTTTTGAGACGTGCCTTGAAATAGGGGAGATGGATGGATGGATGGATGGAGGGAACCTGACATGGAGTTCCAGGGGCAGGGGCAGAAGGGCTGAAAGCCTTGCCTGCTGATGGTGGGACAGGGGACATGAAGTAGGCCAATATTCGCTGACCAAAGGGAATGGCCAGGACAGTGTGGTTGGAGGAGATGCGTCACAGAGATACGTTCAGGCGAGAACATGGAAGGGATTTGAATATGAAGACGTGAACTTTACCACTGACACGCAAATTTATAGCTACCTCACCCACTCAAAGCACATTTCACCTTTAGATAATGTTCCTTCAAATCCATTAGCATTCAGGAAATTAAACACGGTGGACAAATATTATTCAACAATAAAACTGCAGATTGGGTTTAGTCATTAAGTCAAGGGCCAGAGAAAACATCGTAAACAAAATTTCCTACCATCCTGACTGCTGCACATTTTAAACTCCCTTCAATGTATAAGTACATTTCCAAGTTCATAACAAACATTATAGGCAGACGGCGAGTGCATTAATCTATAGTTGTGGACAACACATGCGTCACACAATTGAGGGATTTCCCCTGAGTCGTTTGGAGGTTACCACAAAGATACAACAAGGCCAATCATTACAAAGGTTGACTCCAATTGAACAGAATATAGCAACCACAATACTCCGCATTTAATTATAATATGGGAACCTATGTCAAACAGCAACCGTATAAACCGTGACCGATATTTCACCACCAACAGCTTACACTTATATAGCGCCCTCCACTCAGGGTAGCTTCTCAGAGTGCTTAACAGTGGCGGAGCCTGACTCTGAGCCGGGGGGAGGTGGCTGTAAGCACGGTTGAAGAGGAAAGTTTTCAGGCGGGACTTGAAAGAAGGGGAGTGGGGGCAATGCAGTGGGATTGAGGGAGAGTGTTCCAGAGTTTCGGGGTGTAGTGGCTGAAAGCACAAACTCCAATGGTGGGGCGAAGGGTGCGAGGGACGAGCAGGATGCCAGTCAAGCGGAGGCTCCATATGGTGGACTGGGGAGTGAGGAGGACGGAGAGGTCGGGAGGCGCCAGCGAGTGAATGGATTTGAACACGAGGGTGAGGATCTTGAAGTCGATCCATTCAGTGGTGGGGAGCCAGTGGAGCCTGGGCCAGACCTGGCGAGACGTGGTTTCATAGTTTCAATGTTAATCGCATTCACTGTGGAACACTCAGGTTACTCGGCTCCATTGCCTCTTAGTCACAAGGCTGTATGTTGAAGCCTCATGTCACTACACGACAATCCAAGGGCAGGAGCCATAAAGTATTTAGTTACCCAGAAGGGAATTAACGACCGGAACAGGGTCACCAGGAAAGGTGATTGAGGCAAGGACACTGGGCCTTGTTCCAAAAAAAAAAATGCTCGATGTGGTGATGGGATGACGGCAGGGCAGAGGTGAGACCAAAGCGGGACGGCCCGAATGGCCTTCTTCACCCTGATCCAGCCTTGCGATTTCAATGACTCTTTGCAACGTACCCCAAACTCCTGATAACTTGACCCGGTCTTAACTTGTCGCTACCATTTGAGTCATTGTGTGCGGTCGATAGCCCATCCGCGTTTCTTTGTGTATTTATACACGCGCGTAAGTCGCCGCTCGGGATAACTCGTCGCTGAGCCCTTCTCCCTCGGAGTGACGGGTCATCAGGAGTCTCCCGTAGACGACAATAATAATCCCATAACCACCACCACGAATGACACTTGTTTAGCGCCTTTCACGTCGGGAGGACGTCCCGAGGCGCTGAACCTTTGCTTCTGCTTTTAGCGCCTTATCGGGGTCTCTTCACGGGATTCTACCTTGAGTTTCGCCCGCTACGGTGCACAGTCACTACACTTTTTACAGGATACGCTGCGAAGCGCTTCGAGACGTCCCTAACAGGAGGGGCACCGGGACCACCGAAAGGTCTTATTTTCTACGTCGCCCCCAAACCCCCGCACCCACCCCCAGTCCCCAACCCCCCCCAACCCCCCAGCCCCCCCACCCCACCGGCCTCCGCCCCTTTCCGTTTGACCCCGAGCCGACTCGCACTCACCCTGACTCCACGTCCGAGCCTCGGAGCCGCACGTCGGTCACCAGCCCATGTCGCGCTGTGGCCGAAGAGAGTGGGGGGGGAGGGGGAGCCCGTGTGTGTGTGGGAGGGGGGGGGGTTGTGGGGGGGGGGGGGGGGGAGTGGGTGGGGGAGGGGCTCGAAAAAAAACTCCCCACTGCACCTGCGCGCGTAACGCTCCCACCTCCCGGAAGTACCTCGGCGCATGCGCACTGCACGCCGAGCCGCCGTGGGAGCGCGCGGCTGACGGTTTAACGGTCGTTTTTTGACGGTTGGGGGGGAGGAGCCCGAGAGAGGGGGGGGGAGAGGGGGAGAGGGGGGCGATGAGCAGCTGCTGCGTGTGCGACCAGCGGCCGCCCAGATACCGCTGCCCCCGCTGCCGGGAGCGCTAGTGAGTACCGCGGCGCCATCAGCGGCCACTAGGCCGCACTCAGCCTGGGACTCGCGTGACCGCCCCCCCCACCCCCACCCCCACCCGGGGGAGGGCTGGGGAGCCTCAGGCCGAGCTCCTCGGTCATCAGAGATAATGTGTCTATATATATACATATATATAACTTTGAGACGTCGAGAAGACGTGAAAAGCGCTATATCAAATGCAAGGATTATTATTATTATTATTTGTTCACTCTGTGTGTGTGTGTGTATGTATCTCGAGGGGGCGATCATCCCCCCCCCCCCCCACCCCGGCCCCCGGCGCTCTCGCCTCGAGTCAAGGAGGTTGCGGGTTCGCACGCCTCCACCACACCCCTCCCCCTCCCTCCCACCATATCAGGGGGCACTTTAATAATAATAATAATCCTCGCACTTGACACGTCGCCGAAGCGTCTCCGCCGTGTTTCACACTGTGAGGCGGATGGACTTGTATATTGTTGCGGGCGGAACCAATCGATCGATCGATCAATCAATCAATCCTCAACCGTCCCCGCGTTTGGTAACACGCTCCTTGTCACGTGGCCGGGACGTCCTTCGGGACGGGCGGCGTTCCTCTGCCGCTCCCGAAATTCTCCACTCACGGCAGTCGTCTTGTTTTTTTTTTGTTGTCTCCCTCTCCAGCTGTTCGGTGGGATGTTACAAGCGGCACCAAGGTAACGGGCGGGCCATTGCTCTCCAGAGTTGCGCGGCAGATTCAGTGTTGACCGGTGGTTCTGACGGCGGGCCGTCGAACTCTTGATTTAATTTTGTGGCAGACAACCGTTGAGTAGAAAGTGTTGACCGGCCGAATAGTCCTTTCAAAAAGGTCCGGTCTCTCGAAAACGTAATTTGTTTGGTGGTTTTGCTTTCTGTTTCTATGAACTTCGGCACCAGAGTAATAATCCCTCCAAAAACCCCAAACAATAATAAATTGGTCATTTTCAATCCACGACTGTCTGTGGGGACATTGCTGTGCGCAATTGGCGGCCGCGTTCGCCCACAAATATACAGTCAATTCACTTTGCAGTGTGTTCTGTGAAGCGCTTTGGGACGTCCTCCCGACGTGAAAAGCGCTATATCCAATGCAAGGATTTTTATTATTATAACCTTGCACAGTTCCTAAGGCAAAACTCTGGTGTTTTTCTAAGGAGTATAAAAAGTGGTATTTTAACGGTTGTGCTTTAGAACTTGAACTATAATCTTTACAAAATTCCTTTTTACTAGATGATTGCAAACCACAGGAGTCTAAAACCATTTCAACAGCATCTGAGGTTTCTCCAGCATTGAGAGTATCGCCACAACATAGCACAGGTATAACAATAATAATTACATGTGGTGGCTGAAACTATGATTCCATCAAAGGGTCAGTTGCCCACAAGGATCTGTCCCACTGATACAAAAGTTACCCTTATTTTTAAACAAATACAAAAGTTCCTCCTATTTATAAACTTCCCCTATTTAGATTTTGTGTTTGAATGTTTTGTTTATTTTTTTTTCCTGTAATTGTAAAGCGCTCAAGATATTATCCTACATGAAGGGCACTCTATAAATCAAGTTGCTACCATTGATTTAAATTGGGCTTGCTTCCTACGTGATTTATTTGTAATCTGTGCCACTAACGACCTAAAATAAAAACTATCTAGCAATAACCAGTATGAAAGTTCTTAAACAGTAAGATATTTTACTTCATGTGGGTGCCTACCTATTTAAAGCAAATGGCTATCAATTTTTTGACCTAGTCCATTTGACAGCACAAGGCAAGAACAGCAATCTGCTTTTTGCAGCTTTGTCATCATTCCTAGGTTTTAAAAAAACATCTCTCCCTTTATCAAATATACAAAAAATTCTGTAATCTGCCAGTTGCACTTCACATAGCAAGTTGCCACTACCTTTCACAGTTTTAGGAAATATGCTGCAATCACTTATTAATTGTATTTAATATCTCTGTGCATATTGACAGGGCACAGCTGCTCTGCACACAATGTCCAGGATGAAAATGAAGAATCTGATTGGGTAGCACAAAATAAACTGAGTTTATTGGGTAAGTAGAAAGAAGGGTTTGGGAAATTTAAGTCATTAAAAACTGCTTAATCATGGAGTAGCATCAATAGCAACCACTGAAAGCTGCAACATATGCTATTTTGTTTTGCCCTCACTGCACGTGGAGGTATCTATATCCTGTAGTAAATTGATTTAAACACTTTCTGAATGTTTGAGCATTAGATCAGGGAAATTGTGAATCTGTGGCTGCATTCATCCGTTGGTGTAAAATGCATATACATGTATTTGAGGTAAACACTGATTTTAAATGAATTCTATTCCATTTTCTTCCAACAGCAGATTCAGAGGAGTTGAAGAGTTTGCTCTGCAATCCTCATCTCAGAGATTTGCTGTTGACTGTAGACCAGGCCAGGGACAAAGGAAGTTTAATGAAGACTGTTATGCAAGAACCCATCTTTGTGGAATTTGCTGATCAGTGTCTACAGATCGTTGAACCCAGAATAAAGAAAACTGAATTTCTGCATTGTAATTAAGACACCCATGACCATTTTATACTATTAAATATACACTTTTTGAATACATTTTCTTGGATCATTTCATCTGTCTAACAGGTAACTTAGAAAATTGACTGGTACATGATCAGACTTCTTTCAAGGATCAGGGAGATTTACATTACCCTGAATTTTAATGCCTCCATCAATTAGATCATATCCAGCGAAACTTCTGATCATAGATAAACCCAAAGTTAATGTCTAACTGAGAAAGTTTCTTCTACTACTAGCTTTTAATGGAAGCATTCTCAACATAGACTGGTATGAGCAGTTCTATCACTAGGAATCTGAGAATATTGGCCTTGAATTAAACCCTTTGGGCATTCTATTGGGGGCAGTGATTTACAGGAGTTGGTGAGAAGAGTAGTTTGAAGTTGATACTAAACTTAGTTACAAATGCATTTCAGAATGGCTTGAAGGCCATATTCTGCGAAGCGTTTTGAGACATCTCAAAGCCATGATAGGGCACTACATCAAATGCAAGGGTTATTATTTTAGCTCATTGGACTATCATGCATGGACTAACCCCCTTTACCCTTAAAGAAAACAAAAACATACATATGCAATGTTTAATTCCTCAAATCAAACACTTTCACTTTACATAGAAACAGCTTCATTTAAAATAGATGATTCAGTACATAAATACATCTGTTCAAGTTTTAAATAAAACGTGTAACAGTTTTGAAACAGATCCCCTTGTTTGGTAGCAGCTGCATGATTTGAATTGACAGTATGACTGACCAATAAGGTTTAATGTTTGCTGCATGTGGACAAAGTGCAATGTTGTTCATAAACAAGTCAGCAGCTTCACACTATTTTGCCTGCAATCTATAAGCAATTACAAAAAGCCATAATGTCATCAATGAGACATTCATCCCTGTGAGCCAAAGCCCAATCTCCTGTGGTTGTCCTAGCTGCACTTGTACTCTGAATTGTACCATGGCTTTGGACTGATAAAACAGCACAGATGCAAAAAAAAAAAAAAAATGCCCAAGTAGTGTTTTCTAAAAATAATTCTATTCAAATCAAAAGATTAACACTGAGTGCAAGTTCTCACTGTCTCGTTATCTTTCTGGTAGAACTGGTCAGTGAGTTGTTCAGAGCATATTGTTTATATGGTCAGTTTAAAATACAAATTCTTTATAAGTATTCTATTAAATGTTAGTTCTAAAAGGTTCTCAGTTTATATGCAGGGATAAAGCAAGTATTCCTGAATGTGTAATCAATTTAGAATTTTACATTCTGTGATTACATGAATGAAAAGATTAGTATATTACTTTCTGAATAATACCCCAGCAATTCCCCCAGAGTATCCAGCACCAATCAAGGAGCATTGTCACAACTATCACTTCAGCACAGTGTGCGAGAGGCAGCTCCAAGTCAAGAAAGGAAAGACAACAGATAGGACCTCATGTCAGCTGTCATGAAGCCACATCGATAACAAAAATAAAGTGAAGGAGTTTGCAGTCTTTATCTGATCCTGCCCTTGGGACAAAAATAGAGTGGATCGCTGTCCAATTAATTTCACCTGTGTTACAGTAGCCCTTGGACAAAGGAATTATTAAGGCTGAATGGCATAGTCCAGATGGAAATCGAATGGGAGACAGCACCTTGGAATCTTCCTTGTGCGAGGCTTAGGTAGTGTTTGTGCTGAACAATAAAAGGTTGATTTCCTTGATCAGAGGTAACAGAATTTTAAAGTTAAAATCACTTTCTCCCCCAATATAAAAACACACCCAGGTAGTGTTATTTTGGTTGTCAGCTGATTCAGTGTGGACTGAGGGAAGCTAAAAGAAAATTGTACAACCATTTCCCTTATTGTTTAAGATGCACCTGAAAGTTTGAAGAGTTTCTCCCATTAGAAACCGTATACAGGTTTTGCGCAAAGACTTCTTTGGAAAAGACGAGACTAAAAGTAACTAGTGTTCCTATAAATACTGTATACATGAATTGTAGATTTTGTTCAAATTACCTGCCCTGAGGTATTGGCACTTATTTGCATAACATTAATTTTTGATACTTGTAATTAAAATAATAATTGCAATACATTTATCGTAAAGGCAGCATGATACACCTTGGAGTCTTAACTTGTGTGTGCTGCTGTGATGTAACAGAAAGGCAGAGTAACCCTGCAACGTAATTGATGAGTCTCTCAAGTTCCCAGTATGCCACAAAGTTGTATTAAGTGTTCTATAAAATCTTGCTTCTAATTGATTAATCACTTAGAAGTGGACTTGATGAGTCACATGCTAGCACTGCACATAGATACACAGTCCTTAGGTACAGCTTATTCAAACCTTAATGTACCAAATGAATGTTGATGAACAAAGTGATTCTTATCCGAGGTTAATCAGATTATGGTCGGAGCTGGTCTTGTGGCAGAGAAAGGCTTGCGGTGATGTGTGGTTGAATGGTAGATGCACTTTACGTCTTTTCCAACAAAATCTGGTTGAGGCCATTGATTGTACACTTGTAGCTTTCTGGACAAATGTCGGCGTAATGCAACGGTGATCTCTTGCAACGGAATTTTATCCTTATCTAGAAAACAGTGCAACATCTTATATAGAGCTGGTGTTAAAATGTTCCAATTTGAAGAATACAAAGAATTCTCCCTATATCACGGCCGATAGTCCCCCACATGAATTGATCATTCACTTCCTGACTGTGTGCAAATTGGCTGCTCAGTTTACAACTACAACGCTTCACTTGACAACAATTATCAGCGAAACGCTTTGAGATGTTAGTCACTGTATCAAATGCAAGGTTTATATCATTTTAATTCACTAATTAATAACGGTGCTTTACCTGAGGCAGCGCTCGAATGGAGACCAGGTCACAGCCAGACTGATTGGGTTCTTGTTTATGGTTTATTCGCCCCCATTGAACCTTCAAACAAGCCGACCGAGCGAGAGCCCGAACAGTCCCACTCACAGTGAATGTCAATGCAGTCAACGGTGCAGAGGACAGGATGAGACCCAGGGGCCACGAGCGTAGCTTTAAATCCTGTTTCAGAGTACTTTGGGAAGGTTTGCTCGACGAAAGATTCTGGGAACAAACTGGAGAACCAGGAAGCCATGCCATTTCCTCTTCAAAGTTGCTTGTGTCGTCCAATTCTGCTGCGGCCAAGGTTTCCATTCTGACCTAAAGAGTTTCAGAAATAAATCAGGCAGTGGTGGCTAATGTGCAATTGTATCTTAATCGGATTCTTCATTATGGAATCTGAGTCACACAAGTGGAGGTCATTCTGGTAATCAGAGGTATTTTGTAATTGAATTCCTCATTGGAAGTGCCGCATGGAGGAGCAAAAGGCTTAGAATGCAATTTTAAAAAATACCCTGTACCAAACGGAACCAAATTAAAGCCACGTCTTACTTTCCAGCTTTTCCAAGCCTGCTGCACCACCGTAGCAGCATAATGACACTTCTTAATCCACCGTCTTGTCAGCCATGACCTGACAGCTATAAAACAAGTTAAGCAACGTGAGCCTGGAACCTTGCAATGAGGGCAAACTCATACCGCATACAATCAAATCACAAAACGATTTAATGGGGAGGTTAGAAAATAAAGTTACTTTTACACAGAATGTGGAATTCTCTGCGCACAAAACAACTATTGAGTTAGAAAACGAGCGTTTGCAGAGAAAACATTCAGCATTTCTAAAGCAATCATATAAAGTGCTTTGAGGGGATTATGATGAAGTGGTGGAATTAACACAACAGTTACCTGCTTGGAGCACGGTTGTCGCTCGCCTCAGTCGTGCCAACTTCCTGCGCCGGTAGTGCCGCCAGCTGCTCTGTATAAACGTTGCCTTGTGCGAGAGCATTTGACTCCTCGCACATTCCAGTTGTTCAAGCTACAGAGATTAGTGATAAGTGCTCATGTGTTGTTTAACACATTTTACAGAAGACTCAAGAATACAGACTTAAAAATGCCCCTTCCCTTCCCCAAAAGCCCATCCCAGTGTAATACAGACCAGGAGTCATTAATTAGCAGCAGTTAGGGGCTACAATTGACATGGATTGGAGCACAGCAAAGTCCCTGCTCTCTTCTAGGCGTCATGGGAAATGCAGACAAAACCTCGGTTTCATGTCTTATACAAAGGACAGCACCTCCGACACCACACACAAAAAAAAGACTAAAACACTCTCTGGTATTTCACTAAAGTGGGCTTAAGACCACAATCGTCCAATCTAGAGACTATTGTGCTACCCAATGAGCCAACTTAGTAGTTGAGTTATGGAACAGAAATCAACAAGTATTCACAGCTAAAAATTTCTCTGCAGAACTTACTACACCGTGCGTCATGAAGACTTTAGTTTTGCCACAATGTACCACTGAGCTGCAGGGGCCGCTTGGAGCTGGATTGTGAAAGGATGAGACAGCAGCATTCTGGCCAACAAGAACATTGACAAGAAGGTCTTGCACGATGGTACTCGGCTCCTCAGTGGTACCGCCTGTGGGCAGTGAACCTGCAAAGGCAAGTGACACCCATTTTCATGGCCGCATCCTCTTCGCCACACAAGGACGGAAGGTGAAGGCATCGGAGACAGTAGCAAAGTGGAGTCATTCAGTGAGCTGAAGGCACCCAGTTGAATACATAGGAATTGATTAAAGACAAGAGAAAGGGACAGAATATGGGAAGGGTAAAAGAGGGGCGGAGTGATGGGAATATGAAAAGAAAGAGAAAAGTTAAATACAATATCATTTACAGAACATGCTTTGTCAGCAGTAAATTTAAAATTCAATCCATGTAATAATGTCAATATCATCTTATTGCACACAGGCGCACACACCAAATGCTCTGCAGTGGGATCAAAAGCACTTGGTGACCAGGTGGGTAAAGCTACCACCAAGGTGGGTGAAGGGAATCGGCTCACAAAGATCAGAAGGTCAGAGCCTCAGTCCCTGGCCTGAGCTGTGTAGGCAGGTTCGGGCTGAGCTCAGTTGAGTAACCAGCTGACCACAACCAATCAAGGTCCCCACATGAATCAAAGCTACTTGGATAAGGTGCCCAGTGGTTCCTTGACAATAAAGCTATAGCCCAGTAGTGGAAACGCTTTCAGAGGAGAAAACAGAAAGAACCCCACAGCAGCCAACCCACGGTTAGTAGGGCTGATAACACTCACCTTTCCTCCGCTTTGCGGGAGGTCCTTGGTTAAGCCTAGGCAGCGTTTGTTCATGCAGTGTTTGGCTTTTGCTCAAAAGTTCATAGCGCTCCAAAAATGGTCGGTACAGGATTCTGAACAATAAAATTACTTCCCAATCAGTATCAACAGTTACAGCGCGTGCGCACACACACACCCACGCACGCACAAAGAGGCTAAAACACTGACCTACCAAAGCCTCCCCATAAAGCAGAACACTAGAGCCAGTGTTCCTTGTGCGCCTGGCTCCCCTTAGGCGTTTTGATCTGCATAAAGTCTGCTTTGTCTTGTGTTACATTGATATTCAGAGAAAAAACATAACTGGGCCTTTTTTTTTTAAAAAACAGATTATCGCAAACCGGATCTGTGCTGGTAGTAGACACGGCTGTTTTCAGTTTGAGAGTCCCAGGGCAGTACACCATGAATCCCAAGCCAGCAAAGCCAGAAATAAACAGCAGTGTTTGGTTGGCCTCCTTACCTCCCACAAGACCTTGCAGGCTTGGCATTTGTTATATTGTAAAGTCTAATATTCTGAATTTGGAACATAATGATTTAAAGATATCAAATCCCATGAGTATTTTGTTTTAAATTCATATCACATTACAGTAAAAGTTTAAAATTATACAGACTCGCAGATACATTTGCTACAATGTGGTTAATTCCCCCATTCGACTGGAGAATAGACTGCATCACACGCACCTGACAGGGAAACCAGCGGCACTGATGTGGATTGTTTCGACGATACCGCAGGCTTCCAGCTGTGTCAGAACCTGAAACCAAAGCAAACACCTCACACCTCTGATACAATCATCTCCAATCAACTCAACGTCATCATCATCCCGTTTTCAATAGCTTTCCAGAGGACCAGATTTCCTCACTCGCGTTCTCTGCCTCAAGACTCATCGTCTGAACATGTTAAGATTGTGAGGATTTTTGGTTCAGCAAAATTCGGCATACCTCCTGTGACCTGAAGAGATGTGGCTTGCAATCCCCGTTCGGCTTTATGCACCTGATGTAGCGAGGGGTGGTGCTGTTCAAAATACGCATCAGGCTTTCCAGTGAGCCCTGCAGTAGAGGGAAAAAGCATGTTGAAGGATGCAAATCGAAGTTACCTCACACCGTACAGTAATGTAACAACAACTTGTATTTATACAGCAGCGTTCACATAGTATAACGTCTCAGAGGGCTTCTGAGTGGCGGGGTTGGACATAATAATAATAATCCTTGCGTAATCCTTCTGCAATAATCCTTCTGGACATCCCAAAGTGCTTCACAGAATATACTGAAAAGTAAATTGACGGTATATTTTGTGGGCGAAACGCGGCAGCCATAAGCACTGTCAAAGAGGTTAGTTTTATGGTAGGATTTAAAGACATAGAGGAGAGGTAGAGTCAGGGTGTTTCAGAGGTTAGGGGCGTAATGACTGAAGGGTCATTCGCCTAATGGTGTGTGTGAGAGAGAGAGAGAGAAAGAAAATACATTAACTGATCAAAACAAACCTTGAATTTGGCCACCACCGAAATGGCTTTGCTCAGAGCTTTGGCATCGCACAGGTCTTGCTCTGCAACAGGAAACAGCTGCTTCAGCAAGGCATCCTGTGACTTCTGCAACAACTGCACCAGTTCTGGTGGGACAGGATCCTAACAAAGCAAGAGCAGATCCACTTCAATAATGGCCGCCAGCTCACTGCACACTGACAACAAAGTGTCCCAATACACAATTAACAAACCCTAAAGTTTTATTAAAAAAAACAAGTGCAGTCCCGGCATTAAATCTCTCAGTAGCTGCAAGCTGTATACCTCCGCCATCACCACACACACCCCAAATTCATTTAAACACGCTCTATATTTAAGTTTCCTCTGAAGGACTGACCTTGTTTTTCTCTGTCATTCCCTCGATCTGGTAGCTGACCCTCCCTGCGTAATGAGCCACTGTGAAATGAGGGACTTTGCTGAACACATCCCAGCTCATGCAATTGTTGGCCCCCAAAGCTTTCTGAAGGCGACCCTTAAACTGGTCGGCATCTGAAAGCCTGTTGAGGCGGCACTCCTGGAGGAAGAAAGGAAGAGAAAGAGTTGAAGATGAAAAGATCCTGCAAGGCAATGTGGTTTACAGGGACCGGAAGAAGAGGCAAACTCACATCCCGTCACGAGCCTTAGTGCTTCCAAACAGTGACAAACATGTAGTGTGGGGGCACTGCTTTAACAGTTGGGTCAAAATACAGTACATTCAAGTCCTCAGTGTTCGAAGGGCTCCAGGACACTACCCTGGCATGAAGGGCGCCATATAAATGCAAGCTGTTGCTTGTCCAAGAAGCCACCACCAGAGGTCCTTGGGGAGGTGCTTCCTCACACCACCACCAGAGGGCCTCAGTGAGGGGCTGCCACACAGACCGGCCTCCGCCCAATTCAGATTCTGGTTAAGAAACCAGTGAAAGACTGACTGACCTCATTTAACAGTGAGAACACGCTGGCGGGACTCCCCTCAATCAGATCCAGGCAGCTCTGGTTGTCCTGGTACCTAACAAAGGACCAGTCCAGGCCTTCTGCAGTATAGTCCTCCTAGAGTCATTGATGGGGTAAAGAGAGGGAAAAGGAAAGCAAATATCAAACACAGGAATACATTATAATTTCTCACAAAGCGCCACACAGTGAAACGTGAAGACAGTAGAGTCTCTATCCTCTGAAGGATGATGTCACAATTTTAAGCCAAATTTTTAAGCCCAATTGTGAGCTTCCACCGAACACAAAGAGCCTGGCTGACTGACAGCAGCTTCCGACCCACATTCTGGTGCTGCTGGAGTACACTCTGTGCTGTTAGCGTGCTGTGCAAGGGTTTACTAGGTCACTGTGTCTCTGTAGTACCTGCTGTGCTTTGAGATAATGGGCCACAAAGTGCTGCTGCAGTTTCTCATTGGCGTAGTTAATACAAAGCTGCTCCAGATTGTTCTGTGGGAACGACTCAAATCCATAAACGTCCAACAGACCTGCACAAAGATTGGGGCAATGTCACTTGGCTCATGAGCACGTTTTAAAAAAAATAATTTCACCTTAAGAAAAGGCATGTTTTGTGGCTACCAAAGAAAGAGTCATTACACGCAAGTAAATTATCATGAAACACCTCGAGACATTTCAATGTAATTAAAACACAAGTTTTATTCAGTAGAGGAAATGGAGGTCCTCGGTGTTAAAGCTCGGGATTTACAAGACAAATGTTCAAAAGCATTTAAAACTGTTGACCTGCTAGGCTTAGAGCTTGTCATGTGACACTCGGTTACTCACAGGCACAGTAGCAAACACCTTTATAATTAATGGCTTGGCTGGTTTAAGTACCACACTAAGATGATACAGACCAACTGGCTTCAGTTTAAAAGAACTTGGGCTCAACTCAGCCAAAAGTTAGCTCTGGATAGGGCTGCACAGGCATCTTAGGCCAGGAATTACACTGTGAAAATATTTGCACCGCACTGTACCTATGAAATTGGTCCACGTGGAAGGATCTGAGCATATAGAGGTGTTTATGACCTTTACCAGCCAGTCAAACAACCTGCAAAAAACACAAAGGTAGGACAGCTTTTCTGTTATTCCAACCCAGAGAGCAGAGGAATCCTTTTCAAGTGAATGCTCTACAGATTTTGCATAGATGGCCAAATAATCTTATAATAATAATCCTTGCATTTGATGCAGCGCCTTATCACGTCGTTGAGAAGACTCATACGCGCTTCAGAATATACTGTAATTAATTGATTGATTGACTGTGTGTTTTGTGGGTGAAACATGGCAGCCAGTTGCGCTCAGCAGTGTCCCACAAAGTCATGGATTGAGCGACCAATTTTCGCACTCAGCGCACAGCAACGACAAGCGCACTTACTTTGCGTACACGACTTTGGCCAGGCAGTCCCGCCTCGTCCCGCACTCGGTTCTGGAACACGGCTTTTTAAAGACCTGCTGCTGTCGGCCTGCTGTGATGGTCCGCACCCTAAGTTGTTCCCCCAGATCCTCCTCACACACCCTCAGCAGCTTCGCGGTCGTTTTAAGGAAACCTGAAAAAAAAAAAAAATCAGAACCGGGGCTCAATCTTTATTACAAGCATCGCACACAGACTTTCCTTCACCTTTGACCATCAACCAGGAGGAAACCTTTTCTGCTTCAACACAATAATAATCTTTGCATTTGATATAGCGCCTTATCAGGTCTTTGAGATGTCTCAAAGTGCTTCACAGGATATACTTTATATTGATTCTATATTTTGTGGGCGAAACGCGGCAGCCAATTGCCACAGCAGCGTCTCACAAACAGTTATGGACTGAGTGACCAAATTATTACTTTTTTGAAGGGACTATTATTCCCCCCAGAAAAGCGATCTGCCAGTCCGACTTACTTACTGCTAGGTAAACAGAGGGATGCGGAGTAAGGAAACTTGCCCAATGTTTCGCCCTGCCTGGTAATCAAACCCAGGCCCTCTTGTTTGAGAGGCAAGTGCTCTAACCACTAAGCTACAGGACTCCACCCATTAATTTTCTGAGGATATATTAACCCTCAGAGGACAGCAGACTGCAAACACTCTCACCCTGGAAAACACATCCACACAGCTGCTCAAAATTTAACATCTTTACTATTTTTGCAACTATTCACAGGACATGAGAAAAATCTTTCTTTACTGACTGGGAATAAGCCTCTGAGAATCTAACTAAAATTGACTTACAGAATTCCTAAAGTTCTGCCATAAGGTAATGTTTTTAAAAAAATGCAATAATACATCGAATGGCTCCTACCTTTAGTGTCTTCCTTCAGCTCACACGGCTGAGACTCATCCGCAGGGGAGCTGAAGCCCACGTTGCCGAGGTTTAGAAGACCTACTAGAATCTAATGGGGAAAAGCACAGAAAAGCCAACATCCGTGAGGTTTCAGCAGCTACAGAGGCTATTGCGGGGCCGCAACTGCGGGAAAGGGGAATACGGATCACAAGAATGCAAATGGCATTAATACTCTTAAGAATATCCTGAAAACAGTGTAGCTTACATTCTGGAATAACCTGAGCACAACACAGTAATAATAATCCTTGCATTTGATTGGATTTCTGAACTGAAGCTACCGATACGCATGATCAAAATGACAGGAAATAAGATGGTGCTTCCTTACCCTGAACACCTGGTCCTGCTTGTCATTGTCGATGCCCAGATGCAGCATCGCAGCTTTGGTCTCCTCAAGTTGCTCTTCTGCACGCGATAAAGGAAAAAAGTATGACTGGAGGTTGTATGATATTGTTTTTCCTACAAAAATACACAGCTACACTTTACATGCAGGGAAGCGCTTTGAGGTGTCCCCCACGATGTGAAAGATTCTATACCATTGCACGGATTATTATAATGCCCATAAGGTAATATTCTGTAGATTCACTTCATTATATTTAACAAATTGAATGAACAGAATCTTGTTAGTGTGGCCATCCAGGGTAACCTGCCTTTACATCCAGGGTTGGATAATGGTTCCCTCACTCTGACTAACCTTCTAAAGTCTCTGCAACGTTTGGTAACCAGACAAATTCTGCTGTTTTGGACAGATTCCACTCTGACCTCTGCTCCTGAGTGGCTCCTTTGATGATCTAAAGACAAGACGCATCAATGAGTTCCAGCATCCAGACTACACAACTTGCATTTATATAGTAACCTTCACAAAGGGTAGTGTCTTGGAGCACTTAGTGCACATTGCTATTAAGTAAGGTGCATGGAGATGTGGTTGAAAGATCCAGCGTGGTCTAATAAATGACGAAGCAGACTCGATGGCCTCCCACTGTTCCTATCCAGGTTAATGTGGTCAATGACACGATACAGGGCATTGATTTAGCAGATCTTCTGGGTGCTTTCCTCCCTCTGCTCCTCCAGCTAAAGTAACAGTTAATCTCCAAGCCCTGACATTGTGTAATTTGAAGCCTGTGAAGTACTTGAGGTATCCGGCTGCACTGTAAACCGAGAGATGTGAAAGTGACTCTGGCTGGAACTGGTTTACAACATGCTACCCACAACTCAATCTCAGTAAAACTCGGTGTCCAGTAACACGCCAAGTCACACTCTTCAATACAGTCCAAAAACACCTCCTTACATTGGAACGACTTTGAGCAAACACCAGCCCATTACACAGGGTCACTGCCGTACCTGGTAAAAGATGTGAAAGTTTCTCTCGGACGGAGCTTGATAAGCGACTCGAGTTTTCTCCAAAAGGTAGGTGTGTACAGAGGCTCCCTCCAGTTGTTGTGACCTGTGTGACAATAAAACAGAGGGTTGACAGGGACTCAAAAATATGTTTTATTGGAGGTGGATGACCGTTGGCCTGAAGGATATTTTTATATGCAAAAACAGCCATGACAGTCATGTTATATTAAAAAAAATTCTTTCCTTCCTGGAAAAATGATGATATTCCAGGTCAGGCTCATAATGCTGCTGTGGATTTAATCTTGGAATGGTTGGTTCACTGTAAAAACTGATGGAAATTGTAACTCGCTGTATCACCTGTTTAGCTGCAGCTGGATGTATTTCCCAAATCGGCTGCTATTGTGATTCCGTAAAGTGCAAGCGTTTCCTGTGTAGAGTAAACAACACTGGTCAAGAAGAGTGTTTTGTCATGTGTAGATTTATTTGTGAGCACAAACCCAGTTAGGAGCTACCGACATGTGTTTAATCCCCAAAACAGGACAGTTGAACCCATTTCACTACATGAAACAGGAGGTCATATCTGGCCCATATTTTGCTTCGATGTTTGCTCCTCTCAAGATGGCACCCATCGAAATTTCAATTCCCTGCTCTTTCGCCCTCCAAGTAAGGCAAAATGCAATGCAATAGCAAATTACATTTGTATAGCACCTTTCACGTCGGGAGGACGTCCCAAGGCGCTGGTTCTCAAGAGAGTCTGAAACAAGCATCGATCGCCAAAAACCCATTGCACTCACTTACCAAATGCCTCCATCACTGGGTTGGAGTCAAGAACTCGCTTTTCGATCCTTTCCACGTGCTCCTGGCACTTAGCAGAGGTGGACGAGGCAGCAACGGTGGCAAAGTAGTTCATAAGGCAACGTGATGTCCATGTCTGCAGCGGGAGACGTCAGAGATAAGGTGATTAAAACAACTTGCTTGTGCTGGAAATCCACATTTCATAACTTAAGACATATCGAGTGGTGAAGTCTATTTATTGTGGTATTATCGAGACTTATATCCACCTGTATTATTTCCTGTGCACAAATGCATTAGTTAATAACTGAAGCTGTTCCAGTCAAGAAAAGGTGCATGGAGCTCGACTCCAGCATTGCATTCCGCTCGGATTAATCCAGCAGCTCCACCATTCCTCAGCTTAAGCAGTTGGTGAAAGCCACAGAGTTTATTACGATTGAAAATATTATCTTACATGCGTTAAGACACAACTATTAATCCCTCCTTCACATTTAACTGTGAGGGAAGAGGGGATTTACACTTCATAAGTTGTTGCCACTGACTACAATGAAGCACTGGACAGCACACTATCCTCAAATTAAGCAGCCAAAGTGTTGTTGCATGTACATCACTAGGTACTACACAGAGAAACCAATTGGTAAGAATTGGATTTAAGTTGCCAACCATGTTCAAAAAACACACAGTGCAAAAAGAGCAACAAGTGCTTTTCAAATCCATCACCTGACTGTTGGCAGAGACTTTCAAAGTCACAGTGACCATGATCGCACAAGTGGTTATATAATGTGCAGAACCATTTCGAGAATTTGTATACTTGCGTCTATAATTTCTGCATTAAACTAGTTAACGAACAGACAAAGAATCACAAAGCATCTATTAAGGCGAGCGCTGTGACAGGTTGACTAGTTAACCCCTGCAGTAGTCACAGGTATGTTTTAACAACATAATTTCTAAATACTTCAATTTGCAGGACTCCTACCTAACCAACAGAGCCCCACATACCAGTACCTCCACACGGATCTCTTAAATTTGCTCCATACCTTTCCAGCACCGCTCTCCCCACTGACTATTAGGGACTGGTTAATTGGCTCCACCTGGCCCTGGACATTCCTGAAGGCTAGTTCAGCCACTATGTAAATGTGGGGTTGCAAGTCCTGAAGAGAATGAAAGGCAGCCTTTTAAAAAATCTGTTTAAAATTTATTTTTCTTTATATCTTACAATAGCCAGTTTCCAGACAATTTAGTAGTGTGCTACTAAATCCATGAGACAAATAGCTGTTCTGACGTTGAGTTTACCTGAGGCCGAGATGCTGTGTGATAATCTCTCATAATGTTGAAGGAATACAAGTTAGGTACAGGCTGGAACGGATTAAGGGCCACCAGGGTACAACCCGCGTGTGTGTAAAACAGGCTGGTTGCATATCTTGCTTGCAAGCATTTTAAAACTACAGAGAGAGAGAGAGAAAAGGTATATAAGCCACATTTCATTTTAAACATCTAGATTATTTAAACTAAAACATATTATTATTATTATTGTGCAGTTTGCCAAGGACTTAGATGATTCTTCTGGAAAATGTTTTTACCCACTAGGTCACCAGGGGGAGCTCCACAAACAGCATTTGAAAACAACCCACTGAATCAGGTTACTACACAAATAGTTACCTGTGGCAGTAGTTACTGGGTTGACTTTCGTGAGGTCATCAAAAGTGTGCAACTGCTCTTCATTAATAAGAAAAGCTTTCACCTCCTCCTCCATTCCATTATACGTAGTGTGGTTTGAAACCTGTTGGTTCTTTTTAAAGTCATCAGCCTGAAACAGAACAATTAGAAACTCAAAATGCCTCCATGATAGGTTCGAACATTGAATGACCCTTCAATGGAACACATCTCCTGTGCACACATGAGCACGAGATAAGCAAACATTAGTGAGTTATTAAGCAAGTTCATCTCCGCTTACAATATTGAATACCCAGGCATTGTTTCTATGCCAAACAATGTTAATGAGCCACCACTAGTCTGCTCTGCCAATTTTTTATTTGATCCGATATTTAAAATGAACAACAGCAACCTCTCAAGCAATGATTTTGTGTTTCATGGTACACTGAGTATTGTGGTTGCTGTATGTGCTGTGAGTCATCTCTAAGCTCTACTTTCATAGAAAACATCCAGTCCATGCTGAAATAATTTTATATGAACCTCACCAATTGCAACAACAGGGTGGAGTTATATTCTGAAAAATGAAACTCGTTTTAATAAGGCTTGCCTGGTACTATAAATACAGACCCAACAGACCTGAAACCGGTTTATTAAGAAGCACAGTGTCACTCTTAAATGTCCCAGTGCTACAATTATGCCTGGAGAAGGCCCTAAACAACAACCTAGAGAATTCTCTGAACCACAACATAGCTATTATCACTCTAAATTGAGTTCTTACTGCACCATCTGTCAGCTGTCTTTAGGGAAAAAAACAATTGATGTATTTTTGGACTAAAAAGCACCCAACACTTTATCTCAGTTGCTCTGCCCTTATTGTAACCTAGACACATTGTAAATGAGTAAAGTTTAATTAACACGTTAGAATCATCATGAGGTAGCTGATGTTCATGCACTGGTTTTCCATCCAGGAAAAGAGCAAATATTCAGCTCAAGAATTATTCTAGTAGTCAGATTCCCTAACTCTTGGGCTGTTCTCTTTCTCCGCCAGTACCTAACTAGTATTACCCACTGAGTCTGGGTTTAGCTGAACTGAAACAATTGCAGAAACAACCAGTCATAAATCATTATCTCTTTGGTACTCTATTATTACTATTCAACAGAAACAGATTTTTAAAAAAATGTTTTTTATATGTGTATACATATATATATATTAAAAAAATGAACAACACTTCCAAGTGGGTGTGAGTCACAGCAACACATGTCAATTCAGCGCCTCACAGAAGCTGGATTTTTCCAGACGGAAAGGGAGTCACCGGTTTAAAATTCAAAAAACCAACTGAAATAATGGCATGAGCCGAGTGTGGGAGGAGGATTAATAATAATAATCCTCGCTTTGATATACAGAGCGCCTCGTCACAATTGCTGAGACATCGAAAAGCGCTTCACGGGAACATACCGCAAAATGGACCGACTGCGTGTTTTAAAACAACGAAGAACGATAAACCCCGATGGCATCCGATGGCGCATCCTCTCGTGTCGTTGAGAGACTTCTCAAAGCGCTTCGCGGAATACAGTATATTCTGTGAAGCGCTTTGGGACGTCCTCCCGACGTGAAAAGCGCTATATCAAATGCAAGGATTATTATTATTATTATTATTATTACAGCGTCAAGTGGACCCTCGCAGATTTTTGCGAGCCAAACCCGGCAGCCAGTCTTGCGCACAGGAGGTTCCCGCAAACGGTCAGTGAAGTGAGTGACCAATATTATTTTGAGAGGGGAGGGGGAAGAAAAAAAAACAAAGGAGTTGCCGGGTACAGTTTATTTGGGCGGGATCGTCGGCCGGGACAGCAGGGAAGAAGGAGAGAGAGAGAGAGACAGAGAGAGAGAGAAACTCCCTTCTCTTTTCGAATAGCACCGCGCGATCTTTGCAAAGGATGGACAGCGAGGAAAGTGGCCACATGGGCCCCACAGGAGCAAAGGGAAGACAAGTAAAGCCGAGGGGGCGACCATTCCCCAGGCCGCCAGGCCGGTCCCTCCCGCCCGCTCGCTCGCACTCCGCCCCCGTTACCTGCCGCTCTCCCGCCGCTCGCTTGGCATTGAAGGCCGAGGCCGCCGCCGCCGCCATCGCTTCCCCTTCTCACTGCTCCATCCCTGCGGGTTGAGGAGGAGGAGGAGGAGGTCACCGGTCCGGCCCTCTCCTCTCCTCTCCTCGGCCGCCCTGAAGGACGCGCTCGCTGCGCTGCCAAGATGGCCGAGGACCGCGCAGGCGCCTGACCTCTGACCCGGTCCGCTCCCTGCCGTCGCCATGGCAGCGCCCGGGTCCCGCTGCCCGCTCGCCCCTCACTCACTCACTCACTCACTCACTCACACAGTCAAGTCAGTCAGTCACCGAGGATCTGTCACTGAACCACCCGCTCCCGCCGACCTGACCGGGCGTTACTGTGCTGCAACCTCTGCCCTCAAGAGAGAGAGCGAGCGAGCGAGTAGGTGGCGGCCATTCGTGGGCTTCCATCGCTCGCGAAAACAGCTCGCGACCGTCTCCTCGCGGCGAACGTCATCACTTGTTGCGTACGGGTGACGTGTCAACTGAGGGCGGGGCGGGGGGAGGGGGAGAGGAGAAGGGTGTGGCGTGCCGTCCGCCGTCATCACGTCGTGCGCACGTTGCACCCGGTTCCGCAGCGGTGCCGTCTGCGCGCGGTTCAAGTGGGAATTTGAACCGAACCGCTTGGCTCGGGTTTTCGCCGGTGAAGCGGGTGGTCGTGTCCGCCCCTCTCTCCTCCTCCCGCGGGTCTCTCCCGACGCCACCCTCCCTTGCCCCCGAGACGCTGCTGCGTCCATGCAACTTGTGGTGGACGAGAAAAGGCCATTTTGCCCAGCAGTGCTGGTCCGTGCCCCCCCCTCCCCCCCCCCGTTTTACCGGCGAGGGCCAAACCTGCAGGTAGACGCTTTCCCAGTGGTGGGACAAGGCCCCACTTTTTACACATTCCCCCCCCCACCCCCATCACCATCACCATCGTCATCATCAGCAACATAGCCGGAAGACACGACGCCATCACGACGTCTCTCTCGAGACGCTTTGGAAAGTCCCGACGGCCGCAACGTGACCCTGGCGCCCGGTGTGGCGCCTTGCCGCGCCAGAAGGACGTCTCCAAGCGCTTCGCAGGATTTATTGTGGAATTTGAGTGACCGCGGGCGAACGCGACAGCGCAATTGCGGAGAGCGATGTCCCACAAACAGGCGCGACGCGATGGACCAATTTCATTTGGGGGACAATTGGCCACAATGGCGAAAAAACTCCCTTCTCTTGTCGAATAGTGCTGTGGGATCTTTTAACGTCATCTGAACGAGCAGACAGGGCCTCTGTTTTGACGTTTGATCCAAAGGACAGATTATTATAATTTACAAGACGAGGCAGGGAATGACTCGTGGTCTGGGAAGATATTTTAGTGGTCAAAAGGAATGAAATGAGATGAATGAAGGTGAATATTCGTGATAATGCATTTGATTCATTCGAACTGTTCAATTTTTTTTCACATTTGATGCATTGCCTATACGATGGAATCATCTCAAAAGTATTTGACAGGGTTTTCAAGTACAGAGTTTTTTGGGGGGAGGAAGAACCAAACCCCACAGTCAATTTCTACTTGGCAAATTTTCACAAAATACCCATTATAAGTATTTTTCCCGATCGTACAATAGCAAATTAGTTATCAACTAAATGTTGCTATATTGCCGTATATGCACTTGCAGTATATTTTATGATGAATAGGTTTTTTTTGTCTTTCAGGAAAAATAAATGATCCAGAAATGTCACTGAAAGAACTCAAAGTGGCATTTGTCAGTGACCTGACTGGCACCAACTTGTTTGAGGTATTATTGGGTTTAATTCTGCCTTCATTATGTGTTGTCTGCCGAGGATTGGTGCTGATATATTCCTTCAGACGAGGTGCAGCAACACTTTCTTGGAAAAGCCTTCTGCTGATGGATTTCAGTATGTTGGTGGCATCTCTCGTACTATGCTGTACTGTTTTGTCAGATGCACTTCACTGGGTGGTGCTGAGCCTATCAGCTATTCTCGGGATGTCCCTGTTTCAGTTATACCAGCAAAGGAGACGTTACAGAGACCAACGCTTCAAAGAGATTGTGAGACTGTTCTCAAAAACCAGCTTAGAAATGAATCGCATTCCCTTCGTCACCGTGTTTCGGGTCTTTGTCAACATTATGACCTGCATCGCCATTCTGGCCGTGGACTTCAGGATATTTCCCAGACGCTATGCTAAAGCTGAAACTTATGGGACTGGAATTATGGATTTTGGTGTGGGGGCTTTTGTTTTTGCAAATGCACTCGTTTCTCCAGAGGCAAGGCAAAAGAGCAAAAGCATATTCCATTCTAAATTTACTTTTGTGGCGAAGCAGTTCATATCAGTTTGGCCATTAGTTTTCCTGGGGTTAGCTCGCTTACTGAGTGTCAAAGGAATTGATTACCATGAGCATCTATCTGAATATGGTGTACACTGGAACTTCTTTTTCACACTGGCTGTTGTAAGGATCCTATCATCGTTTCTTATGGCACTTTGCCCTGTCAGCAAAACTTGGGTTTTATCTGCTAGTATTGCGATGATCTATCAATGGATTCTGGAAACCACTAACCTCAAGCAATTTATATTACATGGTAGTGATGGCAAAGACAACAGGAATGGGTTTATTAATGCCAACCGTGAAGGATTGTTTTCGGTGTTCGGATACATAGCCATTTATATTGCTGGTGTGCAGTCTGGCTTATATATAATGAAGAGGAGGGCGTTGGTAGAAGACTGGATAAAAATGTTGCCTTTCCTTGTGTTGGGCACTGTTGTATCATGGCTGCTGCTGTATGCTTGTGAGGTATGCATTGAGCCAGTGTCTCGTAAGCTCAGCAATCTCACGTTTGTTATATGGGTAGTTGGCCAGTGCTTCTTTTTTCTGATTCTTTACATGCTGGCAGACCTTGTCTTGGTATTTGCTAAAATGCTGTCAGGGGTGTGGAATGTGCCTAGTTCATGGAATAATTCACCAGAATTGTCCCAAAGCAGTAGCACTTGCTCTAAAAGTAAAACTTCAGGATCCGTAAATGCCTGCCTTATTGAGGCTATAAGCAGAAACCAGCTGTTCTTTTTCCTGCTGTCTAATGTCCTGACTGGTGTAGTGAACCTTGCAGTGGATACTATTCATTGCGACGCATTTATTTCCATCATTGTACTTTTCTTATATATGTTTTGTAATTGTCTCGTCGTAACTGTCTTGCATATTAAGAACATTACTCTAAAGTTCTGGTGATTCTCTGACTGAATTCAGCAGCTGTAAATTTGGAAATGTCATAAGTATTGGGATTATTTTCTGCAGTATCAAGTAAACACTGATTCCTGCTTTTGTAATGTGGTCAGTATTGGGTGCTTTATTTTAAATCATATACATAATTTACATTTTAGACATTAACTTGCTAATAAATGGTTTAATTAAAATGTTACTTGTCTCAAAACTTTCCTCTTCAACCGAGCCTTTTGCCGCCCTCCTACACTCCCCGACCCCAAGCTCAGGTCCAAATTGCTGACTGTCCAGCGCCTTGGGACGTCCTCCCAACGTGAAAGGCCCCCTATAGAAATGTAATGTTGTATTGTACTCTCACAGCTTACTTCGCTCGTTCATCCCACTCAGTGTTGGACCCCTTTTAACTCTCAACGGTGTATTTCAAATATATTTCACTCCCGCACACACCGACATGTTATCCGCTAATTGGCAAGTTACAACAAGGAACAATCGTGCCTTTGACGCAGCGCCTTGTCGCGTCTTCGAGACGCTCTCAAAGCGCTTCACAGGATGGATAACGCTGTAGAGTACATTTTGTGGGCGAAGCGCGGCGGCCGATTGCGGATCCACAAACAGTGGGGGAGTGGATGGTGTTTGTGGGGGGCGGGGAGGGGGGATGTGGAGGGGGGAGGGAGGAGAGCGGTGGAGGTGTCCTGCGCGCTGCGGGTTGACACCAAGGGGCCCAGATAAGGGCGCGCGTGCGCGAGCAGACCGCGCGCGCGCGCACCTCTCTCTCTCTCTCGCACGCGCGCGCGCGCACGGTACCATCCGAACTACTTACAAACCACCTCGGCCGCAGCTTCCAACCGCGACACCCGGGCGGGTGGATTTGGAGTGTGGGTGGGGGGAGGGGGACACACAAGTTAAAGGGTCGCTTTTAATTCGTCCGCACCTATAAAAATATGTGTATATATATATATATATGTGTGTGAGTGTGTATCGTGATATGCCACAAAGTATTGGAATAAAGGCTACTTAAAGCAGTTTTTTTTTTAAAAAAACTAACAAATAGGGGATCTGTCCCCCCCCCCCCTTCTCTCTCTCCAGTTGGATCAGTCCAGTGAGAGGAGGCGGAGGAGGTGGGGGTGTGGGGGGAGGGGGAGAGGAACTAATTGCCGACGCGGAGGGAGGGAGGGAAGTCCGGGAGGGCGGCGGCAAAGGCGACGGCGGCGGTGATGCGGCGATTCTGACGCGCTTCCATTTTTATTCGAATTATTATTTTCCTCTTCTCTGCCCCGAGACAGAGAGAGAGCGAGAGGGAGAGGGAGAGCGAGAGAAACCCGGGGCGGGAGGCGCGGAGAGAAAAAGGGGTGGGGTTGGGGTGGGGGGGGGAAAGGGGGCAAGAAAGGGGGCGTAGAGCCGGAGCCAGAGAGTCCCGCGGAGGCTTCGTCTCTCTCTCCCTCGCACCACAGAGCGAGAGATAGATGCGTCAATAGAGACGAGAGAGAGAGAGAGAGAGAGGGTTTTTTTTTTCCACCCCCCGTGAGGAGAAAATCTTTTCTCTCGACGGGTTTCGGGCCTCGCGCGCTCTCTCGCCTCCGCTTCGCCTCCCGCACGGTCTCGCTCGCTCGCTCTCTCTCGGCCCGGCCCGGCCTGACATGGCGCGCCTGGTGGCGGTGTGCAGAGACGGGGAGGAAGAGTTCCCCTTCGAGAAGCGCCAGATCCCGCTCTACATCGACGACACCCTGACGGTGAGTTTGTGGGGTGGTGTTGTGGGGTGGGGTGGGGTCGGTGGTGGTGGGTGGGGGGTGGGGGGAGGGGAAAGGTACTGGAGGCCCAGGCTTTTTTTTTGGGGGGGGGGGGGAGGGGGGGCTGTAATGGAGGTCGGTTACGGGCGGCCGGGTGTGAGGGGGTGGGGGGGTGGGGGGAGGGAATGATAACCCGGGCAAGGACAGGGCCTTGTTGCGTGACTCCACTGTGGGAGAGGCCCGAGTGAGCAGAGCAGGCTTCAGGGCCTTGGTGTGTGTCTCTCTCTCTCTCTCCTCCCTGGAGCCCGATTCCTCTCTCTGTGTCTGTCTGTCTCTGTCTGTCTCTCTGTGTCTGTCTCTCTCTGTCTGTCTGTCTCTCTTAATTATTATTTTTTGACAGGAATATTAAATCCCCGGGAGAGCTGCCGTGTCACGAGCTTTACGGCTCTCTCCTCCCCCCCTCCACCCCCCTCCCAGGCCCTGGGCTCTCGCTTCTTTTTCTCTCCCCCCCTGCAAACTTGTGCTGTTTTTTTCTCTCTCTCTCTCTCTCTCTCTCTCAGCCACTTCCCTTTCTCAGTCTCAGAGTGCACACTGGCGAGAGATCCAGAGGCAACATTTTATGCACCTTCTTTGGTTTTTTTAATTCCCTTATCGTCCCCCCCCCCCCCCCCCGAGGCTTCGGTTGCTTTCTGCTCTCTCGCCTCTAGTTGTTTTTTTTTTTTAGCAGCGACCCAGAAAGCCAAGAGTTTCTTATTCCCGGTGCCTCCTGGCCGACGTGACAGCCTTTCCTCTCTCTCTCTCTCTCTCCCCCCCCCCCCCCCCCCCCCCACACACACACACACACGCATGTACAAAAAATGGTCATTCGCTGGTGGATGTTTGCAGGACATTTGCTGGGTGCAAATTGGCTGCTATATTCGCCTGCAACATATAGGCACTATATGTAATTGTATGTAAAATCCTTGGAAGTGCTTTCAGACACCCCACACCCCCACCTGATGTGAAAGGTGCTATATCAAATGCAAGGATCATTATTAAATCCAGTCACTATACTTGAAGCCTTTTTGTGATATTATAGGTACTACAGCAAATGCAAGAGTATTTTTACCTTTAGTGAACTCAATTTTAAGAGAACTAAAGCCACATTTACTGTGCTAACTAAACGGTTGTGCCATTGTTTTGGGTGTCATTTCTTTGCATTGATTTGGATAAATTAATGGCACTTAAAAAATGATCCAGGAGATGTGGTTGTGGCATCTAAATTTTTAGTGAACCTGCCACTTTCCACTTCAAAAAGTGCACATTTCTAGGAGTAAAGCCCTGCTAATGTTTTTGTGAACTTTTCTGATTCTGAGTGCTATAATTCATGCTGTTGTTTGACCTGTTGTTTGTTTATCAGTGATATATTTCACATCCAAACATGGAATCCATTTTACGGGCTGGTTTATTATAATAGTGCTAAAAGCATCATTTATACTTGGACTATAGAAATGTAGACTACTGTTATGCAACTAAAGTGGGCTTTTTGACTATTCATATCCTAGTTATTTTCTTCCGTATCCCCCCCCCCCACCCACACACACACACACTCGGTTCCTTAAATACATTAGGAAAATCACTGATGAGGAAAAACTTGTTGGCTCATAATCCCAACCCTTTATTACTCTTCCTTGTATAATATGTTTTCTCTTTGCATGCCCCCCCATATTTAGGATTCCGCTAGTACCCCACCTGGTACAGTATAATTTTTCCATATAACTATTGCAGAATTAATTTTTATAATAATAAACTAAGCTTGCTCCTCACAGGGAGGCGAGAAGGGACCATCACCTCATTCTAGCCATTTATTTACTGTGCTGAAAATGATGAGTGCCATAATTTCCACCCCCTACCCCACTTTATAAATTAATAGGTAGGTAATCTCTAGACATTGTGGGTTAATTGATAGAGACCAACATGCATCATCAGAATTTTGGAAGGTGAACTACTGATCAGACAGTTTAAATATTTAATTTCCAACAGTGAAGATTACAGCAAACAATGGATTTAAAATGGTAACACTAAAAAGGAGTTTAATCAGATATGAATCAAAATTTCATATTTTGTTGTTTGGTTGGGCAATGGAACCTCAATTTGTTTGCCAGTTTTAATTGTCCTTCTCCAATAGATAATGGAATGTAAACCGTTAATTCCCCTCATTAGCAATTTTTAAAAAAAAATCTTATTAAAGAGCACATTTTAAAATCTGTTTAAAACTGGATGTAAAAGCCTGTGCATCTGAATATCTTGCAGGACAGTTCTGCTTGCATTTCTGCAATGATATATTTTATAAACATTAAAACTGCACAAGGATAGACAGGTTGTACTTTATCTAGATACACGTCGTACTGAAACTAAAACTGTCTTTGTGAGTGTTCCAATGAGTGTTTCATACAGTTTTTCATACAATTGACCACCTTCAACAATTCAGCTTTATTGCCTTGCCAGTTTTCTACTCTGCCTCCTGAAGGTGTGTGTGTACTTTTTCCTTCTTCTGGGGAACAGTTTTATGGGAACTAGGTGCTATTGTTCATATTGCCCAATCCACGACTGTTTGTGGGACACTGCTGTGCGCAATTGGCTGTGTGTTTGCCTACAAATATACAGTCAATTCACTTTACAGTATATTCTAGACATATATTTGAGATGTCTAGAAGACATGAAAAGCGTAATATCAAATGCAAGGATCATCATTATTATTATGTGAGTCTTGACATGTGGGAGCACTCCATGCCCTCTTTGCTAGCAAGGATGCACCTGAATAATTTGCAGGAGTGAGACTTGGCTGTTTGTTGCTCTACTGTCTAAAAAGTGCTAAGGCTGTTTTAGTGCTCCAACTGCCATTGTCTTAGCTAAGCTACAATTAGTCTTTTGGGGCATTCCATTACTTTTAATTTCTACTTTTGAACTTCTATGACATCCTCATGAAAGAGCTAGATTTTGATCATGTTTGTGAATGATGAGATGAGAAGTTGTCATTGATAATGAGGGTCAAAGTTACTTTTTTTTAATCCACAAACCTTTCTTTCCCTCTGATTTTTCTCTTGCTCCCCAAATCCAACCTCAAATTCAAAGTGGTGTGGGGTGTTGCAAGATCAGCAGATCCAAACTGAATTCTGTAAGACCTGACACTGTTTGGGATTGCAGCTTGTGGAAGCTATCCGTGTAATTCAGTTTTGCTGACATCAGACCTCTACAGCAGTTATCTTATCACTATTATCTATTTCTGCAAAGAGCTGGAGTCCTTACTGTATCTTAAAGAACTGCCACATTTTAGTCAATTCGCTTAGTGTTTATACGCTTAAAAACATAAATGCATCTTCCTCATCTCCTTCTTTCCTTCCCCCCAGTACACATTTTCAGTTATCCACTGCCAACATCAGCAGCAAGCCAACTTTATCATTAGCAGATTATCAAGTGGACTATTGGAACTCTTAAACTGTATTATAGCTCTTAAAAGCTATTTATGGTTTAAGAGCTCCGAGATGCTTCCCAGTGCGAAGGGTGCTATATAAATGCAGGTTTGCGTTGTTGTTGATAGATCCCTTATTGTCGGGATTGAAATATGATTTTTTTCAATATGGCTGTGAGTTTATGGCCTAGTGTTCTGTCACAAGGTAGAATCTGTTTTGCATTAATTGACACGTATCTGAGATCGGACCTGGGATCTTTACAGTCTATATGGCTCAGAACACATCAAGTGGTATATTTAGAGCTCAGAATCAATGATTTGTTGAGTGTTTTGTCCTGGATTTGAACAAGGAAGAGGAAGCTTTTTTAAAAAAAAAACTTGTCAAAACTGTACCCTGGAACAAATGAAGCATTCAGAAGAAATAGGAATTTGCAAATCCGCATAATGGTGAATGCAGCAGTCAATCAAATATCTGTTTAGAAGCAGGGAAGGCCGGGTCCTAATTGGAAAACGTTCCTGTTGAAGTTCTGCTACAAACCTTTGCTTCTTTTTAGACTTTAACCATACAATTAAAACCAATATTATGTAATTCCGATCGTGACCAGGCCTTCTCTTCTTACTTCAGACCAATTGGGTGGCTGAGAGCTTGAGTTGAAGGGGTACAATAATGAGCGAGACACAAATGTGGTTTATGGAATATACTATCTAACCTGAAATGCAATTATGCAATTAACTTGCTTGTACTCTCCCCTGTGGATAAATACATTGGCAACTATAGCACTTAGCTCACAAACAACCAACAACTCAACAGGGAAAACCCTTCACCTTCTCTAAATGCACTTGTATGCCAGTTCTGTCATGCGCTGCTCCTCACCAGATTCTTGCTAAGTACAGTTCTGTGAGTGCCTGGTCATGTATTTTACCAGTTGAATGGCTTTTTTGTTGTTGCAAGTTTTCTATCCTCCCAAAAGTTGTTGTAAGATAACAAGGCTGCTTATTGCATTTCATGAAAATAGCAGACCAATAAAACTGCATTTACAGTCGTGTGAGATTGATGCATGTCGGAGCATTGCTCCACAATTACCTTAGCGAGGTGGCGAAATTTCATGTGTATTTCTTATCAGTGGTGGTTCCAGGGGGAAGGAAAGGGCCAGTGGCGCTGTGTGCATTTTTTTTGGAAGGATTATTATCCCTGGAAAAGCGATTCGCCAATCGACTAACAAACGGGTTCCTACACACTGCCAGGTAAACAGGTGTGTGGAGTAAGGAAACTTGCCTAACATTTCGCCCTGCCCGGGAATCAAACCCAGGTCTTCTCGCTTGCAATGCGAGTGCTCCAGCGAATATGCTACAAAATCCATTAGCCCCTTACTCAATCGTAATTTTAAGGAAAAAATGCAATTGAGATGTATTAGGTACTATAAGCTGAAAGCTGAATTTAATCAGCTGGCACCAACAAAAGGACCTATTTCCAGCATATTGCTTGAGGTACGAGGTTCTCAAAATGAATCGGGGGGGTGCAGGAAGACTTCCTTTTTGGTATTAATTTTTCTGCTCAGTGAGTTGGAAGACATTAAGAAAATGTTTGATTCACTTCAAGTGTTTGTATGAAGCACTTCCCACGTCATGTACCAACCAGCTGTACAATAAAGCTTCCCACCAAACTTGTTGGGATCCTGCTTTCCCACCAAGCAGCGATAGTCCCACCCCTCCTATTGCTTTCTGTATTGCATCACTGTATTGCTTCTATTTCTCAGTCTGTTGTTATTGCTGTCTCTTTTGAGTGAGCTTTCTGAATCGCACCAGGGGAAATTTTGAACTGTGGGATCAACCTGATTACACAAGTCCAGTAGCACCAATGGCTGGTTAGAGCACTCGTCTCGCAAGCGAGAGACCTGGGTTTGATTCCCGACAGGGCGAAACCTTGGGCAAGTTTCCTTACTCCACATGCCTGATGATAATCCCTCAAGAAAAAAAACAATAATACAATTGGTCACTTCAGTCCACGACTGTTTGTGGGACATTGCTGTGTGCAATTGACTGCCGCGTTTTGCCCACAGATATAATCATTTCACTTTACAGTATATTCTGTGAAGCGCTTTGAGACGTCTAGAAGACATTAAAAGCGTAATATCAAATGCAAGGATTATTATTTATTTTTATTAGGCAATGCATTTTATATTAGGCCCTTAAAATAGATCTTCATGCCATTAGTTTTGAACTGGATATGAACCCAGATTCTAAACATGGGAGGGTATTGTACTCCTGCCATAATATCGAAACCATTAAAAAATCTAAACTGCTAAAGTAAGGGTGTGTTAGTCTTGCACATTATATACAAATTGTTGAAAATTGTTGTTTACTATATGTGCCATTTGTCAAATACTTAATTTTAACATTGGGCTTGGTGAGAACAGTTGGCTATTTGTTTTGGTTATTTGCAGAGACTGAAAACACTAGGACGTTACTGGTTCAAATCCGCTTTTGCCTACATAACATTTACTTCTTTTGCAATTGCTGTTTTGTGAAGCACTTCAAAGAGTAACGTTTCGTGTGAAAGACGTTGTCTATGTTGTGAAATAAAGACTGTGAGATGGGTACTGTCGCCTGATCTTGGCTCGTCTGTGGCAAACTGGCTTGTGAAGGTTTTGATTAAAGGAAGGAATTGACTTAACAGATTTTAAGCAATTGTGTGTTTTGTGCAAAATTCAATCCCATTTTTCCCCCTTATCACAGTAATTTTTTTTCTTCCAGATGGTGATGGAATTCTCTGATAATATATTAAACCTTGAAGGACAGCAGGTTAATGGTGCACAACTGAAGCAGTTTGTGCAGGTAAGGAGTCCTGTTCTACACTAAATAATAGAATCATAAAAAATTACAGCGCGGAAGGAGGCCATTCAGCCCATTGAGTCTGCACCGTCTCTCAGAGCAAGCTGTTCTTTCAATACTGTTGCTCTGTCCTAACCCCATACAAATTCAAGCCTCGTAACTTTCATATACTCTTCCCCTTCCCTCTTGAAACCCACAATACATTTTATATCTACCACCTTACTTGGGCAGGGCATTCCACATTTCAACAGCTCTCTGTGTGAAAACAATTCTAAGATCTCCTTTCGTTCTCTTATGACAAAGGTCTTCAGGCATGAACTGAAAAAGGGGAAAAACTGTTTGAATAGACAAAGTGAATCTTGGGATTTTGAAATAAGTCACATAATATTTTATAATCCTTGCTATTCTATGTCTCTGTATTTCTGTGTCTTGGGGGAGATTTTTTTTTCCTTTTTGCTGCATGAAAAGGTTAATGCCAAATCAGTTCTGTATCTGTCAGCGTTCAATCCCTTCTCTGTTTTGCAAATACAATGTTACAGACTTTACAGCTGAGGTCTACTTCAATTGCAGTGTCCACCACTGGTTGAACCTTGTCAGAATCTCTTGCACTTTCGTGTGTTGAATCCGAATATATTATAGCATTTAGATTCATGGTGAAACTTTTTTTTGCTTCAGCAACACAGCATGCTTAAACAGCAAGACCTTAACATTGCTATGATGGTAACGTCCCGTGAAGTCTTCAGTGCACTGTCTCAGCTGGTTCCGTGTGTTGGCTGTCGACGCAGCGTGGAGCGTCTCTTCTCTCAGCTCGTGGAATCCGGCAACCCAGCCCTGGAACCGCTTTCGGTGGGGCCCACAGGAGTTCTGTCAGTAACTCGGAACTGTATGACTGACGCAAAAAAACTCTATACATTGTTTTATGTGCACGGGTGAGTAATCAGATCTTCCGTCAATTTGTCTCGCACATTTTCCTTCAAATGTACAGAAACACTAAATGTCCATTCTTGCCAATGTGCATTTCTTTAATTCCCAAACATAATATTTTTAAAAAATTGGTGAAAAAAAGCTCAATTCTGAATCGAGAATGGTAGAAAACCATTGGCTGTTGCTATTAGGTTTTATATATAATTATGTATAACATATAAAATGTGTTTGTATATAATCCTATGTCACAGTATCTCAAAGCTCTTGAGTTTTCTGTATGGTGGTAGTGTACAGATGCAGGGACGAGAGATAGCAAGCTGGGTTGCAAATCAAAATTCCTACATTAACTTTTTTTTGTCTGGATCCAAAGGCAGTTTCCTACTCCTTTCTTCTTAATCTTTTACAAATTGATAGACAATGGGTTAAATGCTGAAATGTTATTTCAAACCGGATCTGCCTCTCATGCTAGCCAAGTCATCAAGTGGGGTGTTGGCCGCATTTACACAAATTGTGTAGATAAGCAATGAATGCAATTGTGCTTAAACCCAATTGAACTGTTTTTGCTATAAAAGTATATTGTACATGTACAATATGTATGTGTAAAATGATGGGTTTTATTTATGCAGTTTGCACTGAAGCAGCTGCATTCTGTTTTGTGGGAGTTGTTGGTGAGGCCCTTAAAGGCAGAGCTGGAAGAAGCTAGTATGCATAGTTAGTAGTGAAATGTAGTCCAAGTATTTTGTAGCACAAATACCTGTAGGCCAGCCGGTCTAAAGCCCTGACTTTCACACAACTGAACAGAACTGCTTTAGACCGCCCATAGGCAGTCGGGCAAGCTGTTACTAGGGCAGCTTCAGGCATCGGTGAAGAGTCTGATATATAAGTGTTAGAATCATTGAGCTGAGGATCGGAAGAGCATGTGCTTTATACACACGCTCTGTGTGTATGAGGCTACCCTAACTGTCCCTGGAGTTAACTAGCACGTAGAGCTACAGAGTAAAGGGAAATTATTCCTGCTTGGCTTAGTTCCCAATCTGAGCTGTGCCAAATGGATGCTGTGGAGCTTTCTTACAGTGGAACATTGGAGGGAAAGTGGCACCTGCCTGTCTCTGGCAGCTCTGCGTAGCTAGCTGCATTGTGCAGTGATATGTGGAAGTTTCTAGAGCTGAGCTGCCTGGGCTAGGCAGGCCGAAGATGAGTGGCAATTTATGAAGAAAATCATTTTTATTAAAGCTGTTTTGTATTTGTTTTTTCTTCACCGATTGTTCCTCTTTTGTAACTCAAATCCATTTCTTTTTAGGTCCAAACTAAACGAGATGATCGATGCAATTCCTAAAAGTAAAAAGAACAAAAGGTGTCAATTGCATTCGTTAGATACACACAAGCCAAAACCTTTGGGGTAAGCAATTCCTCTGCACTTGAATCGGTGGTTTGTATTTTTTCAAAATCACTTTCAGAGCTCGAACAAAATGTGTTTGTGTAAAGAGATCAACCTATTTTTAAGTTGCTTTGTGTGTGTTTTTTCTGATCTATATATAAGTGGCAGTTCAAGCTACTGGCAAACAGTATTTCAACGACTACTTATTGGGGTCTATTTTGTGTGCTGGAGCACGGCTTCTCTAATTCCCTTAGAGAATTGATAGCGTTTGCACCTGCAAAGGTATCAACGGGGCCAAGAGCCTTTGGACATTGCTTTCTGTCTAGTGCTCTAATTAATTCTCCTCAACCTTATGTGTTCCGGGCTATAGTTAAAGCAACACCTTGTGGTGAAGAGTGGTCATTACCCTTCTGTACGCATTTCAGTGAAGTAACAACAAGGTACAGATAATTAGATTTGTTACCGAAACCTGTTGAGTTAAAAATACAGTGCTAAAAGAGAGCAGTTTGACTTGTGTTCGTGAAACTGCCAGTGTAAAGGAATTTGCATTTCAGAGTATCCTGACTTAACTTCTATTGCCTGAACATTGACATTGCCAAATGTTTCAATTAATACCACTTTTGTACATGCACAAAACTGAAGGCAACTATGGATTGTTTAGCTATGCATCTAGTAGATGGAGGGGTGGGTAATAGATGGTGGATAACTGGCTTCTACTTGAGATATGAGGGAGCCAGAGGTTTCCATTTTCCCTTTCCAGTTTATGAGTGATTTTTTTCACAGGCGAGACTGGGAGCTCAGGGATGCTGGATTGTACCCAACTGCTGTATTGGGATGGGTTACTGCTCCAGAGCATTTCCACTGTCTGCCAGTTTACATATTGCTCTCAATTTACAGAAAAAGAATGCAAGCGAGGATGGGAATCTTGCTTTGGCACACTTGATGTACAGTTCATAGCAGCAAAGTAGAAAGACTGTGTATAAATGATGCTTAGCCTGTTACTAACTCTTCTGCAAATTACAGCGAAGGGAACAGTGGCAGTGGAAACGCAGAGAGAGCGCTAGGGTCAGATAAGAAAAATAATGGAGAGAGCAAGAAGGAAGTCAGATGTAGCATCCTTTTTCATTTTGGACCTTTTCAGCCACCACACAGGTAACAGGGTCATCAAATAGGCATAGTGTGTGATGTGCGATGGTTCTATTCCCCTGACTTTAGCTTTTCACAACAGTACCGTTTTTTTTGTCCAAGTATAATTCCTTGTTTGAAAGATGAGAGTTTCTTTCCAGAAAAAGCATAGAGCAGTGGTGGCTAACCTTCAAGGTCAGCTGACAAAATAAATTTTCTTGATTGAATATTTGTTGACTTATGCCATAAATCAAGAGATGTTCAATCAAGAAAAAACTGAAAACACATTACCAATCAAACACAGAATTACCTAGACTTGTTCGGGGAGGCCCATAGGTTGGCCACCACTGGTGTAAAGGAAGCTCTTCCGAGCCTGTTTCCCTATTTAGTGTTTAATGTCTGTATTGTAATTTGTTTGGTTTCAAAAGCAAATAATTGTGAAAAGTGGGGCTGCGACAAACTAATTTAGGAAATGTTCCCTGTCCTAGCTGCCACAAGTGGATAGATGAAGTCAAGATCTCACATTGACAGGTTTTCTAAAGAGCGTATCTCCCTAATCTTTGGGGGAGTTAAAAAACTGAAGACTAATTTCCCCACCCCCAATGACTCAATTAATAGCTATTGTTTAGAGTGAACCAGCCGTGAAAACCTACTGGGTGATCTCAACCGGCACAGCAGTTGGGAGTGTGAGAATTAGCTGCAGCTCATCTGGTTTAGCGGGAGAATGTGCCAGCTGGGGTTTCCACTCCTGATCACTATCTAGTGATTCCTCTTAAAGTGTGTGAGTGAATGGATTCATCTTGGCTGTGATGGACCCTAAGGTTTAAATCTCCTCCCAGCCCTCACTGTCTAAAGCTCATATTTGAAGAATGGCCACTCGCTGAGGCCCTGGTTTCAGTGGAGCAATATCCCAAATCATCTTTTTGGGTCAGCCAATTTAAATGCAAACTAATAAGCATTTGTGCTTTAAGGAAATAATAAATGGTCAGCCTTATAGGTTGTTGCTCTCAGTCGGAATCCAAGCCTTGCCATACACAGGGTAAATAAATAAATGTGTTTAGCCTTAGCTCATAGCACCCTCTGTTGTTCATTGAAGTCAATACAGTCTTCGTGGCATTGGAAAGACTGACAAGTAGAGGCCAGCAGTGAATGGGGGAGTGTAGGATTGTCACGAGAAACGCAGTATTAACATAAGTGCTTGAGAACTACTGACATTTCAGCTCTAATTTGTTCTCTATCATTTAAGTAGCATAATCATTTCTGGCCTGTTTAATGATCTTTAGGGAAGTGCCTAACTGAAGACAACTGCTCCTTTTTGTATAATAATCTCTTCAGAAGTTGTTAAATTTCTTTTTCTAGATTGGCCGTTTTTTTTTGAAAATACTAGTTATAACTCAAAAGGTGTTTCAGATTCCTGTTGCACATTAAGTGATTGGAATTCACTTGAGGGTACACCTGTTCCTATAACTCAGAAATACAGTGTTTAGTACTCGTCTTTCTAGCATGTGCCTTTTGGCGCTGCAAAAAATGGATAATTCTCTTGAATCTTTGTATCTGGAAAGGTTCAACCCAAGTTTTCGATACTTTCGACCCACTTGCCTCTTTGGTGTTTTAATAATTGCTTGGGCGTACAGCATTTCCAGTTATCTAGTTCTCCCTGAATTAATGTTTCACATCTAGGGTTCACTTGATGGCTTTGTGCAGCTCAGCTAGAAGCGAAAAATCCAGGTGAATACCCATCCCCGTTGTCTAGCGAAGAAGGTTGGACTATTTACAAAGCTTCTCTCTTTTTCATCCAATGCATTCTGAACCTTTTAGAGAGACTTTTACCATATCCCATTGTCCCTTTATTTTGGATTGTGATGGTTACTAAAGCATTTATGTGACGTAAAAAGAATGGGGTAGAGAGACCACAGTTCAGGTAGGTAATCTAGCAACTCACTTCTGCTGTGCGTACATATTTTAATACTAACCATGTGACGTGTATGTATATTGTGTGTTTGGTCTATAATTACAATTGTAGAATATCGTGGATGGGTCTGGCTTTTCTTTATTTAGTAAAATGCTTGTTTCTCTGACTAGGGGTTGCTGGATGGATGTGTGGGAATTAATGTCCCAAGAATGCAGGGATGAAGTGGTTTTAATTGACTCAAGCTGCCTCTTGGAAACCCTGGAGACGTATCTACGGAAACACAGGTTTGTGACTGACTTCCAGGTTCTTTTTGGCAAAACGTTGAACTTGCAGATATTCTCAGGCCAGCTCGGCACACAACAGTGGAAATACATTGACCTACTTGTCCAAAAAGGAGATGGAGACATTATTTTTCTCCCTTTGCCCCTAGTCCTCGAAATCACCCCCCCCACACAGATGCGGTAGTTTATGTTTTTAAAAATAGTCTCCGTGTTAGAACAGGGAGCGCTTATAAAAACAACTGCCAGTCACAACTCCTGAGATGGGTACCCACTGACCAGCTCGAGTGTGGATCCCTGACTGTCCAGTGCCTTGGGACATTCTCCTGACGTGAAAGGTGCTGTACAAGTGTAATTTGTTGTTCTTGCTGCTCAAGTGTGCGATGGGTTACATCCATGTTTTATTTCATTACAGGTTCTGCACAGATTGCAAAAACAAGGTGCTGCGAGCATACAACATCCTCATTGGAGAGTTGGACTGCAGCAAAGAGAAGGGCTATTGTGCTGCTCTCTATGAGGGGCTAAGGTGCTGTCCACACGAGCGCCACATTCATGTCTGCTGTGAGACGGACTTCATTGCACATCTGTTGGGTCGAGCTGAGCCAGAGTTTGCAGGAGGGTATGAGTATGTAATTTGCTAGAGTGGGCCATCTAGCGCTTTTGGTTGCTTTTTTTTTCTCTCAACAAATGTTTACTTAATGTGAAATACTTGTGCTGGATCCAGTGAACTAATCCTGTGTTTTGCTCCAACATTAAGGTTGCAGTCGTAACTGCTTAACTCTTTACAGTGTTTCATGTTTCAGTTCTGCCTCAGTCGTATTCGGTGGAAGTCTATTTAATCTGCTTTACTGCGAAGATCTGTGTAAATTATCAGGCTATATGAAATCTATATAATAATAATCCTTAAATTTGATTGTATCTATCACGTCATTGAAACGTTTCAAAGCTCTTCACAGAATATACTGTAAAATGAATTGACTGTATATTTTGTGGTCGAAACATTTATCACTACGAAATGTGTATCTTTATTAAAATTTTGCTGCTGGATGTCTCAAAAGAATCGGCTTTCTGGCACTGCTGCAGTTGCCTGACACAACACATTTGTTTTTCTTTCTTTTTTCCCTCCCATCCCAGCCTGGGCTGGTTGCCATGATAAATTGTCTCTGCATTTTAATCATGATTGGCTGAGTTGAGGACATGCTAGTGCACGTTTTTTAAATTTGAATCGAATTTGATTAGTTGTACTTTACCCATAACTCGCTGTTTGATCTGCATTCCAGTCAGGGTCATGTCATAATTATGCAATGTAGCCCTATGTGTGTTGAATTTCATCCACTTCATAACACTGAATGTTATTAAGCAGAATTGTTGATATGCTTCTGAATGCAGAAAGATGGTTATCCCTAATATCTTGGCTTCTTAAAGCTAAATAAATCACTGTAGTCAAGTCCAGCTTTCCTTCAATCGTAAACTAATCAATTGAATTGTTTCCAGGCGTAGGGAGAGGCATGCAAAAACTATAGACATTGCACAAGAAGAAGTTCTTACATGTCTCGGCATCCACCTTTACGAGCGCTTGCACAGAATTTGGCAGAAGCTAAGAGCTGAAGAACAGACATGGCAGATGCTCTTCTACCTTGGTATTGATGCATTGCGCAAAAGCTTTGAGGTACAGTTTTAAAATAGCCACTTTTTTGCATTCCTTGGGATTTGTCAGTATACGAGTGTCCTATTGATGAGGATTATTGAATGTTAAGTACTAATAGAAGTTCTGAGTAAGGCTTTCTTGCGTAGCTACTTTCAGATTTCCTCCCCCCATCCACACTCTCAACGCCGCCCTGATCTGAATGTGAATGCAGCCCTGAGCAAGCAATATGCTGATGCTTTTGGTATAGTGACAGAGCTGCAGTGGGGAAGCTGCAGGCTTTTGTCGGGTCGCTTTCTTTGTGGGCGTGAAGCACCTTCCCCAAACGAACGTTGGTCGAAGCAGAATCCAGCGTAGCTTTTAAAAGGCAATTGGAAGAATATTGGAGAAAAAGTATAAAATGGGATGAGGAAAGGCGAATGATTCTGTGCTGTGATATTCTTTACCAGTGGAGACAGATGGTAAACTTTTGTAATATAGTTTTATTTTTAACCCGTTCAGTTCCAGTAAATCTTGTTCTATGTTGCTAAACCATATTAATTAATAATTAATTGTAGCCTCTTGCTACATGGCTATTACATACTAGCCTTGCTTTGCTAATTTTTAAAAAATAATTGTATAAACTAGTCACTTTTGAAGTACATCATTAAGATGTGAATGAACTTTACTCTGCAGATGGCAATTGAAAAAGTGCAAGGTATCAGCCGACTGGAACAGCTTTGCGAGGAGCTCTCAGAGGAAGAGAGAGTCCGGGAGCTAAAGCAAGAAAAGAAGCGTCAAAAACGAAAGAACAGGCGCAAAAACAAATGTGCTTGTGCGGTACCCACCCCGCTTCAAACTTCAGGAGAGGCTAAACCTCAAGAAGAGGTAGGTAGCCTACAGTAGAGCTGTGTGTGTGTGTGTGTGTGTGGTGGGGGGGAGGCGGGTAGGCACATTAATAGGCCCAGCTTTCCACGGCTCCCTCAAGGTTTCTGTCTCTGATTTCTAATTCTGAGAAATTTGATTTTTGTGATAATGCAGCCTTATTGTTCGGTAAAAATGAAACCTTTCTGTAACGTGCAGCGAGGAGATAATGCTTACAGTCTCTGAACAGTGTGACTAAACCCTGACTAAACCCATTAATATTCAAATAGTGATCTCAATTTAGTAACACTGAGACGTTGTTGATTATCCTGAGTGACTGATCAGTGAGATTTTGGAAGCATAGATTTGTCCTTTTTTAAACCTAGAAGCTAAACCTTAATTGATGAGGTGGTCCTAACTGAAAATCACTAAATCTTACCAGTGCGTCCTACCTGGGTACCAGAAACCTTGAGGCCTGACAATCCAGAGTGACAATCTGCAGAAATGGCCAGGGTAACCGATCAAGGATGGCTTAAAGTGCTTCACAGGTGCTTCACAATGTAAAATGAACCCAGTCAGCAGCCAAAGCATTTCTGCTTGAAGTTTCTTTATCTGGTTTGACTGGTGTTTGGATTTTACACGGCCCAAGACTGTGAAATCAAAATGTATATATTTTTTTAAAATTCTATCAGCTGCTGAACATCCGATGAATGTTCTTTCTTTTTTCCAGGCAACTTCCGAGTCTGCAGAAAGCAGTTGTAAAGACTGCGGTGGGGTGGGGGAGACCAACGGTAGAGTTGAAGTCATTGTTACAAATGAAAGTACCTCATGCACCTGTCCTGGGAGTGAAAATCTACTGGGATCACCTAAAACAAAGAAAGGTACGTGCGTACTGGTTCCCGACTGTTGTTGTGTGTGGCTGGTTTCTATTGAAAGTTAATTGAGTGAGTAACTAGTATCTCCTCCAAGTCAGTAGTATGCTAATAGACTCCAAGTTACATCCAGCGCCAAAATGGTGTTAAGACAGTTGGGTATAAGACAAGACAGAAGCCTGAGTTTAGAAATGAGTAACCAATGGGCTCAATTTTCTCCTAAATTTGCTTTGAAGCTTCAACCGGTTGTTCTCGTGCAGGGTTGTCCCCACAGTGTAATGGCAGTGACTGCGGTTACTCGTCGAGCATGGAGGGCAGTGAGACTGGATCGCGAGAAGGATCCGACGTCGCTTGCACTGAGGGTATCTGCAATCACGACGAAACAGGTTAGTGTGGTGCAGACCTTCTGGAGAGGGAGCATTTTAGGAGCGCACCATCTAAACTGCCAACAACACATCATTCTATATTAAACACAAGTTTATTTCCAGATTTGTTTTCTTTTTATATTATTATTCATTAGCTTCCATCTGCCTTGTGATTCAGGTTGATAAGGGACCCCTTTACCCACCCCCCACCACCAGCTGCTATGTTACGTTTTTGTGACTTCTATTTCCTCAGACTCATCCCCATTCAAATGAATGGATTACTCACCTTATTGTTCATAGGACATTGCTGATGCAAATTAGCTGCTGCGTTTGCCTGCATTATAACCACTTAACCTCTTATTTTGTAAAGCGCGCCCAGACCTTTATTCTACTTGCGAAGCGCAGTACAAATCCAAGTTAATGGTGTGACCTCTGGCAGTTTTGTTAAGCTAAGATGGAAATGCCCCTATGGATGGCTGTGCTGATCTTAATGGGCTAAATACCTCTGGTTCTTTCCTCTAATTTATGTGTTTGAATTGCTTTAGTTTATTTCCAGATTTGAGACCTCCCAGCGCCTTGGGACGTCCTCTCGGCGTGAATGCCCTATGCAAATGTAATTTTGTATTGTATTAGTGTTTGGATTGCAACAGCGATAGCGGATCTGTTGACGTGCTTGCCCTTTGCTTCTGACAGGCGACGACGCTTGTGTCCATCACTGTGTGGAGGACAAAGAGGAGGACGGGGTGGACAGCTGTGTGGAATGCTGGGCCAATGCCTCCGAGGAGAACACGAAGGGCAAGAGCAAGAAAAAGAAGAAGAAAAACAAAGGTGCAAAATGTGACGAGGATGTAAGTGTCTCGTGTTTTAGCAGCTTCTTAAGTGGCGTCTCTGGTTCCTTTAAGTGTTTAATTCCAACTCCAACTTTTTGGTTTTTTTTTATTGGGACGGTGGGAGGAGTTAGATAATGGGCTGTGTTTGCACACCGCACTGTATGACTACGTAATCCTATGCCACAATACCCCTGAAGGGAATTTCTTGTCTCATTCATTGATGGTGATTGCACTGCTTGAGAGACCAACCCCGCCCACCACTGTAAGCACTCTGAAACATTATCCTCTGTGAATAGTGTTGAGCCAGTCACTTGAGTGCCGTGTATCTGTCTTAAGTTCCCCTGATATTATCATTTTTCAGCTTCTGTTGAGCCGAAGAAATAATTAACAAAAGAGAATTTAAAAAAAAAATCTGAATTTTCTTCGGTTTTCCCACCCCTGTTCTGTAGAGCGAAGCTCCTGGAAACTGCAGCACAGACCTAAGCAGACGAGAGAATTTGGGTAACACTTTGCACAATGAGTTTCACCACGACAAAGCCAAAGATAGCAGTAACTCGGTGAAAGGCAGCCAGCAGGCGGCGTGGGTCACACAGATTCTGTCGGAGAAGCATTTTTCACAGTCATCACAAATTCCACCACCGGGTCTGCCTGATTGGGGACAAGGCACCAAAACCTTAATGGAACTGCTTGTAAGTACAAATGTCGATAACTCTCAAGAAAGCCAACTTGAAGCTTGCCAGGCATTGAATCCAAACCGTTGACAT